TCGGTTGGTTTGTTGTTCGATGGGTCTAAACTCATTAGTGGATATCATAGACGATCCAACAGGCTGTTCAAGGTGGAAGTGCCTATTTCTTTTCGTTTGATAGGTACACAGTTGAGCACACAGCTGGATGTGAACCCTTTCGGCAGCTTGTCTTGCATGAACATGATCCCAGAGTCTCACGCTTCTCTGGGCATTGAACCTATTCCAGCCACTCCAAGGCCCACATTCTGGTGCAACAAAAATATGGTCAGGTTCAATTCTGTCAATCAAACTCCACAAGGTTCGTCGGCCTGCTGGAGTTGACAAGTCACCATCGCGTTTGGTGAACCTGTAGGCATCCACACCCAGCGCACGCAGACTTTCGGTGATTGGACTTGTCTCACCAGCATACACTTCTAGGACAACCAATCTTTTCTTAGGGATGGCACTTGAAGGAGCGGATGTATAGATTTCATCTATCACATTTTGAGCCTGTTCAAGGGATTTCTCAATGGACCGTTGGTGTTGATTGGCAATTCTTTGAGGGGCAAATCGAGAGCATTCAATACGACAAGACTCAATCATGTCTGCTAAATTGGCATCGAGACTCAGGCAAGCCGGCGCACATTCAGAAGCATGGCACGATCCTGTGCCGCATCGTTCTCCAATTGGGCTCTGCAGAAGTCCACGAAATCTTGCTGATGAGGAGGAAGAGAGCGGTACCGCGACAGACTCCATTCGAAGTAGCCCATGTCCTCGCTCAGCACCTGAAAATAGGTGCGCCCCGGGTGCTTCTTGCCACACGTGATCTTCCTTTGGCCCCATTCTGCCAGTGTGAGGCGCGTCGGAGCTTCGGCCGGAGAGGATGGCATTGGCATTGGCACGTTCTCGAGGGCTGGTGGTTGGGCTGCCGCACGGCTGGAGGCTGCACGCTGCTTCTTCTCGGGACTCTTCAGATTCTTGGGAATGGCCATTGGCTTGACTGAGGACACCACAGAAAAGGCGTCGTCGATCTCCTCCTCGTCGCTCAGGGTTGCTTGCAATGGCATTGACAGTTGTTCCAAAGGCAAGCTTGAGATCTGAGGCGGGGTCATGATCCCCGGGCTTGTCACTCGATTCTGGCTCTCCGCCAATCTTTGCAGTAGGGCACGTTGGCGCATCATCTCTTGGCACATTGATTGAAGCTGACTTGTCAGCAGGGGCATCTGTTCCTCTTCTTCCGGACGATGGCTGTCCTTGACTTCGATCATGTTCATGGAAACCTGCAGAACCAAGGTCAATGTGCCCATGATGATGTTGGCCGTCTCCTTGAGGATGTTGATGGCAGCTTCGCGGCTCGAAGACATGCTGGTCAACACAGGAGTCGAGAGTCACACACGGGGCTGGCAAATTGCTGGAATGCGATGGCTTCGCAAGTGTCTTTTGCATGATAAACGGTCGTGTCTGTACAGCTTGGATAGCAGTCTTGGAAATCATTGTCTCCCTATGACATGATGTGTTAACCCCCACATGACTGGCACTCCCAATGAAAACTTCACGACTTACATTATCCTTGCTGTTTTCATGAGTCGGTGATTGGCAAAACTCAGCCATGTCGATGAGGTACAAACCGGTGGCATTGGTGCTCAAATGCATCGTCTTTTGCAGACGGGTCAAAGTGCATCTGTCCTGGTTGGTGTCTAAAATGCCTCCCAACTGCTTGAAGGCACGCTTGGAAAATAAAAACGGCGTCCTACCATTGACAACTTCTACACCTAGCCAGACCTTTTCACCTGATGAATGGCTCAAGGGCAACAAAACTTTGTACATGCTGGTCAGCGTTTGGTTGTTTCCAAAACGAAACTTGATCTGGCTGGGTCGCTGCTGCACGTGAGACTTGACATCACTTGGCGGGCGCTGCAAAAGGCAACTCAGGGTCTGTGATCCGATGACGCATCGGCTGGCACCGGTATCTAGTATGGCATGGGCACATTGCTCCTCGCTAGCTTGCAGGACAGGCATTTCAGGCAGAAACTCACAGGCAGTCTCATTGGTCCTAGCAAGCGAGGAGTTCAGGGGACTTGTGCTGGTCACGGCATGCTGAAACGGCTTACACTCTGTGGAAACAGAGGGCAAAAACTGTTGAGCTTGTCTCGATGGTCTCCGGATGCATTGCATAACCCTGGACATGTGCTTACCTAAGTTTATCTTATTTTGGGGGTCATTCCAGGGGCTGTGAACTGACATGAAACATTCCTGTACACAAGCGGAATCGGGTGCCTTCGGCAGCCCGGAGTGGTCCATCAGATCCTTCTCCGTGAATATCTCCATGTCATCAGCCTGCATCATCTCAGCACCATCGTGGAGCTCGTTCGCCATGTTGGCAGCTGCTGATGGGGGTCCGCTTGATGCCGAAGGTGGTCCAGGATTCTCCTTCTCCCTCAAAGGACACTCGGCCTTCCAATGGCCAAGCTGGTTGCAGTGACGGCATCGGCTCTTTGCAATCTTGGCCAAGAGGTTTTGTCGGCCCTGGCCCTTGGAAAAGGATTTGCCCACCTTGCCTTTGCCCTTGAAATTGGACTTGGAATGGCCGGCAGGCCAAAAACCACGTGAACGGCGCTTGTCCTGGAGTCTCTGTCGGGCCTCCAGGTAGCTCACCAAGGCTGTCTGCATGGATGGTGTCTCTTGGACAAAGTCTTCAAACTCCGTCTCAAAGGCCTGCACCATCACAGCGTCAGGGTCATCTTGGGACAGCATGGCCTCCAAGTACTCAGGGGAAATGTCATCATCTTCCATCACAAGCGCTGATTGCTGAATTGGGCCAGTGCCCTCATCATCATTTCCTTCAGCAAGCATGGTGTCATACACTTTGGTTTTCTGGGTTGATTTTCCTGTTTGCACTTCATGAAAGAAACGGCTACCAAGGAGACGTAGAGCTTTGACCGTTGGAGCATACTTCAACTCAGGATTCTCCAGAAGCACTCGCTTTTTGTCTTCACTACTCAATGTGCTTTGTCGCAAGAGCACATAGGCTTGCACCTCTTCCAACGATGTGCCTCTCGCAAGAAGCTCTGTAAAGACAGCCTCCATCCGGCTGACATAGCTGTCGTTGGACTCATCGGACTTCTGGGTGATCCCGTACAGGGCCTTCTCAAAGTACTCAAAACGCTCCTCAAAATCGGTAGCGCCCCAGCTACCTCCAATGGCTTTGATCAAAGCCTTGACGCCTTCAAGGCTCTTCACCTTCAACTTCGTGGCGCTCAACTTGGACACAGTGGCAAATGCAGATCCCTCAACTAGCAACGCCGCCCTGGGCGCCAACAGGTCTAGATGTTCTGCAGGCCACATGTGTGCCAAGAATTCCATCTTCTTCACATATTCCTGGACGTTGGTAACCCCAGGTTGGAACTTTGGAATGGCAGTCCAAGGGAGTTGTGCCACAGAAGACTGAGGTGGCACGTCGTCATCGGGGACAGGAGGAAGGGTCGAAGCCATGCCCTGGATCTCCCGCTCTTCCAATGCCGAGGCAACGGAGCTTCAGGCTCCGCTACCAGTGTGAAAGGTACTCGACCCTCCCACACTGGTAGCAGAGGATTGGTCCAACCAATGGAAAACTGGATGTAGGCCACCTAGCCAAATGGAATCAGATCCTACTGATAGAAGATAATGTCAACCAAGTAGATGGTCCCACCACCAAGCCGCACAGCGAGGCCGCCAGGCCTATGGCACCTTTTGACCGTATGCACTCCCAAGTGCAAAAGTCCCGCCCACCTTCCCTAGCTTCGAGCAAGGGTGCCTACGGTGGGTTTCACTGCCATATAGTGTGGAAGCAATGCAAGGATCCGGGCAAGACATGTCAGTTTCACACATATATAATCATATATATATGTGTGTGTGTGTTTTGTAGATAATTTATGTGCGTGTGTTTATATGACTAGCTACGCTGAGTATGTTTTTTGGATGTTTCTTCGGTGAATGTATCGACAGTTCAGTGATTTGGAACTGCGTGGTGCGCAAAAAGAACATCACTGGCCCAATAGAAAAGAACAATATTTAATATATTTTGGGCCAATATCACTGATGATTTTTGGTAATACCATCTAATACCTAATTGTCAAAGCCAGGAAGCAACATGGTATTACCAAAAGCATCAGGACGTGAGGAACAGAGCACTTACTGGTCTGGTCAGGTGCCTGTAAGGGGCCTTAACAGGGACCATCAGCTAAAATCCCCACAAAGCCACGCCCAAACCAAGCCCTCGCCTATGATGCCCTCGGCACGCAGCAAACATAGCTTCTCACAAAGGCGTCTACTATTTTGCAGCAACGTAGAGTAGGTTGTAGCGATGACATCCTCATTGGCTCCGTCTTCCTCAATCGCCACGTGGTCCTCCACCAGCTTAGGAGCACAGCAATGATTGTGATGAAACCATACAAAAACCAGCCGTCACAAGCCAAGAAGTCCACCATGTTCATGTGTCAGGATGGCCAACCTCTGGAAGATGAATGGCACGAGCACGGATGATTTCATGTAGAAGCTTCCTGAAACACGCGTGCATCCGCTCACAAATCAAATTCTTATCGTGTGTGTGTGTGTGTGGGTGTATGTATCACTCTGATGGATTGAATCTAGTGATCTGCTGCGATTGCAAACTAAGTGCAATTGAGCGGCCCCTCACCTGAGCAAAAACCCTGCATGCACACTCTATTCTCAGCCAGTGCCTTGAAAAGTAGCCTGCAACAAGTTGTCCTTTCTTTGACCCTGCAAAAGGGCTTCTTCCCAGACCCCAACTTTTCAGGGGCAAATGTTGGTAATAAATTAAATAAGTAGAACCACCATTTTCCCTCCTTGTGACTTTCATTCACCTACAACAATAGGTTAAAGGAGCCCTGCGTAAGGCCCGCGCCCTCAAACGGATGGCTGGTGTCGTTGAACTCCCGCAGCATCACCCGCCGCAACGTTGGCGGCACCAGCGAGAGCGAAAACACGCCGTGCGGAGCCGGTTGGTCTCGCAAGGCGCGTTAAAGGCTTAGCTTGGCAATCTATAAGAAGATATTATTATTAGAAGATATTAACAGCAGCCTCACCCAGCCTTGTATGTCATTCAGGATCCCCTTGAGGGCATTCCCAAAGAGCCAAACCTTTCGGCGGAGCAGAGACTTGAGAGCTGGCTGTTCGCGGTTCTCCAGGCCTGGTTCTGACTCACGCGACGATAAGAGATCTCCACGAGCTCTAAATCTTGGGACCTGCAACTGGTGCTGCAGAACAACTACAGGCAGCAGCAGAACTGCTGATGATCTGCTGATGCCAAGCCATCAGTGAAGATCCTTTCCTAGTGCTGGTGCCTCCTCTCAAAGCTCAACCTCAGTACCTCTGCAGAGTCTGCAGTACCGCCTGGGCCAAAACACCGTCTTCCTGTGAATCCTGGAGTCAATCAGTGCCCCCAACAACAAATCTTCACAAAATTTCCAGAGATACATTTCGCAAGCCAACTGAACTGCAGGAATTGAAACAAGTTCTTGATGTTTTTTACAGAGTGAAGGCCAAGAGGAGAGCCGGTGGGTTGCGAGGTTCAGGAATTGACCCATTTTGTCGAGCACTCAAAACCACAAAGTCCAAGGATCCAAGGCTGGCAAAGGTCTTCTCCAAGTTAAAGGACAAATGCTCACTTTCTGCCTGGCTCAGGGAGTACCAATCAAACTTTTCTGGTAATCATCAAGTTGGCCATCAAAACCCCTTGTTTCGGGGCCAAAGAAACTGAAACCGACCGGGAGATTGGCAGCATTTCTTACTACCCAGACCAGCGAAGCGTGAGGCCTCAGCTAGCCGTCCACGTATCAAGGTCGCCAGCGCTTCCAGTGTGGCATCTGAACCCGGCAGCACACGAACTGCCAAGACGGCCTCGCAGCAGCCCCAATTTGCTGCATGATTTGATGACCGAAGGGATCCTGAGAATCGACATGAACTAGTTCTCTCATGTTCTCTCAGTTGGAATTCCTGGTAAGTCTGGTGACTTCGTGTTTCAATGTGATTGTTGGTCTCCCACCAGCTCCATTGGTTTCGTTGATTCGACCATATTCGCACGTTGGTTTTGTTGAGATTTAGATTCAGCGCTTGTTGAAACTGCAACAGTTGGGCCAACCTGTCGACCCTGCACGTGCGGCACGGCCAGGAGAACAGTGTCTCCTGCGACAGGAAACTGCAAGGGTTCGATGCACGTCATGACGTGAAAAGGTACCCAAGTCCCAAGTCCAATTACAACTCTCAAGAGTATTTTGCGTAGTGCAATCCACGGAAGAACAGTTCACACAAATCTCATGTCCATCTGCAAGGCAATTTTTCGTTAGGGCATCATAAACTTCCAAAATGTCTTTGAGAGCAACAAGGGCCAAAATCTGTGCGTTGGTCAAAAGCCAAGACAGGCCAAGACTACCCCAAGTAGCTAAACTCAACGATGAAACGAGCTGACTCCATGACTCCCTGATGTCATCCTCCTAGCAGTCGCAGCGCAACAGCAGCCACCACTGCCACCCAGCAAGCCAGGTCTAGCTCAGACTCCGGGACCTGCCAGAGAGATGGGGTTGGTTTTTTTGCCAGCTATGGCCAGCTGTTCAACGGCACGCATCATTTTAAATGGAATTGTGAGCTTGTTGAATCCAAATTTATAGTTGAATCAACATGTTTCATGGTTATTTCATGGTTATTTCATGGTTATTTCATGGTTAAGTCCCCATTTCTGATGGTTGTTTGATGCTTAACTCCTGATGTTTGGGGTGTTCTCCCATCCATCGCCTTCGCTTCCACCATCTTCCAGCGCTGCTCGGCTGGGCCGGCGGGGGCATCCAGGTTTTGAAGCTGAACTCCAGCGGCCTGACAGCTGTATGCATGATATCTTTTTAGATGATCTCAATTTTCTCAATTTACAGATGGGATAGTTTGATATAATTTAAGTTAGCTGCGCACAATAATCACAATATTGATTTTGATCTTCGACAACGATCCGACTGGGTCTGGTGCATTTGCATCAGCCCAAAAGCAGCTGCATGGCTCGTTGGATGTCATTGGTATTGGAGATTCAAAGAGCTACAGCATACAAGTTATGGTAGTTAGAGAACTGGGTCCCACTCTGGCACCTCGCTAGCCTGTTACTCAATGAAATCTGGCTGCAAAAACAGCTACGGAAGTGGCTGCAAAGACTCCCAGCAAGCCAAAGCTTTTGAGTAAAGCCAGAACCGGTCTCCAAACAAATCGCAGCAGACGTGGTCTCTAAAGTAAGCAGTTGCGCACGTGTTTGAAATCAGTTCCTCCCTCTCATTTTGTCTTTCCTAGCGTCCCAGTTCGGTTGAGGGCTCAGAACTCAGCATGGCCCGGATACCTCCAAGCACATGATGTATAGGTCTTCTGGAGCAGTGCAGTTGGGTTTATCTCAAAATGTATAGCCCAACTCATGACAAGTCCAGTGGGGAAATAATGATTTTTAAAGTTTTGAACTACAGTATCAACCCTGAATTTTCGGGAGTCCAAATTTGGGGAAAACCATGGACAACCCCAAAAAAGGGGACAGCAACCTCTGCTGCACCTGGGGTATGGGATAACATCCCGGATGTTCTCGATACCAGTGGTCCTGAGCAAAGCTAAGATCAGATAGCGAAAGGATCATCCAAATGGCCAAGAATTTCTATGTCTCGCAACGAGAACAGAATGTAATCATTGTTTTATCAACTCCCGATAGTAAACCAAAATGCTTCGGGATTGGTTTTTTTCCCATTTCTGGTGTTTTTTGGGGACGAAAACCCCACATTTCGACAAACGCCGCGAATCTGAGCTGCAGACAACATGATGAGTCGTTCGAAGCCGAGGCCGAAGCCGCTGTGTGGCACTGAGCCGAAGCGGCGCAAATCTCGGTACCTCTTGCGGAGCCGGGAGCCGGCTAGCTGGGTCTTAAAATGGGGGATTTAGAGTTTATGGCCATTTAGATAAATTGAATATATAAATTGAAAAGGATGATAAACTGTCAAATTTTGGAGGTCCCCATTTTCAGACAAGCCCAGTTGAGTGACCCAGCTGATCTTGCAGAAAGCTGTCTGAGGTACGAATCTTTCGTCAGGGAAGTTCGTTCTTTGCGCCATTATTTTGTGATTAGACACACTAGATCACATTACTGTGTGTAGAGAACCATCCTGAGGAAATTCTGTGTTTTCTACAATTTGTTCAAGTGATGTTCATGCATCGGGCTGCTTGGTTTCTATGACATTCTATGAGTTCACAGATCACAGGTCCTATTCCCAGGCGCGGGAGCACCACCAATAATCTTTCGGCTCAAGGCCCATCTCAGTAATTCTCCGGTCTAAGACGTCCAGCCTTGGTGATGATTCAGTGATAAAGATTGAGGGCCAATTTGCCGCTGGTTTTCCGGTTTTCATCTATGTGTTCACTGTGTTTATCATGTTCATCTACTTTTTAATCAATAAATCATGGTTCGTTTGATTTTTTAATGATACCAGAGCAGTCTGGCTGGAATTTGCTTTCGCTCATGCCAGGTGGTTTCTCCGCGTTCGGCTTTGGAAGGCAACAGCGCAATAAGGGTACGGGTAGGGGTCCCCAAATCAAGGGAAATGGATGGATGAGAAACGATGATCATGACGAAGAATGGGAATGAGGATGTAAGGTAATTTCACCAAAAAAAATGTCACAACAAACATCAAAAGACGTATAATTCATCATAGTGGTCTTTGATGTTCCCTGAGGTTGGCCGAATGACTTACAACTTGGGGTATCTTCCCCCATGATATCCTACAAAGGCTATAAGCAGGCTACAGATTAAAATCGCCCAATGTACTCTGGTTTTGGTTTAGTCGCTCAGCGACCTCAAGGCATGAAAGGAAATCCGGACATCTAAGGTAAAAAGGCATAATCCCATAGCAAGATCCAAAATCCGAAGGCCTTTATCCGAAACTCAACCTTGTCAAGACCTGACTCCAATTGGATGAGCCAACCTCTGAAAACCCGAGCTGTTGAAGAAGCCATTCGGTGATTAGAATCTAAGTGTCCCGCCTCTCCTCACGCTGGGAACCTCCAATCACCTGGCTTATCTGGGGGTAGCAGCTGGCGGCAGGAGCCCTACCACCTTTGCAGCTGCATGCCTACATGCCTAGGTCGTTCCGTTCCAGATTTGTATTTGCTATTTGGGTTTGTCTGAACATAGTGTACCCCTACACCCAATGGTTAATGATCATTATCCCTACTAAATGGCTATAATTGGGGGTATACCATGGTATACCCCATTTTCAGACATACCCATTTTGCAAGTTGTTGCAAGACCTCACCTCCCCGATGGCCGGCGCCAAGACATCCATGGCTGCCACTGTCTTGTTGTCCTGTCGAAAAGCCAGAGCTGTGGCTGCACTGCACCGCTTCATTTCCGGCACACCAGCACTTATCCGATGGCTGAGTGGAGTTTCGGGGTATAAAACATCCAGGCCTCATTGAGCCTCATGTAAAAGGCCTTGATGTCCTAAGTTGGACAATGGACAGCTGTAAATCCCACCACTCAGAGAAAGTTCTGGCAACAATACACTTCTGAGCCTCCAACCTTCGGGTAGTTATATAGGATAACAGGCTTCTTGTAAACCTGGCGCAATTTGGATGTTCAATTTTTCATAGCAACTTGCTCGCAGGAAAAGCTCTCCCTGCAAGGTGAATTCGGTGACAGCAAGGTCCAGAAATTTGGTCGGCAGACTGTACGATTGTGGAATGATGAATCGCCACTCAAAGTCCAATACATGGACGTGTCGGAATATGCGGTACCCCACATGATGTTCCATTTCTTAAGGCCATAAAATCGGGTATACCATGGTACACGGTATGCCCACATTTTGGGACAACCTCACATGGGCATCAAAAACTTCGCTTTCTGATAGCCACAACCCCGAAGGGAACGGCCTTCTCCACTCCCGAGCCTTCTCGGCCAAATATCTTTCATGTTCGGATCCAAGATCGATGCCCCACTCCACTGGCACCTGGTGAAAGATGGCAGGTGATGCCATGAAAAAAGCCTGAATGGATTGGCAATATAGGATTGGCAAGTTTTTCCCAAATCATCCGGTGTTGCACACCTTCTAACACACCTCTAACCTTTGGTTGTTACAGCTTGGTGATCCCAGGGCAAAGTCTTGTTGCCTCTGAAACCATCAGTGATCATCAGTGTTTTCAGTGGTGGCCGCCAGGCCCTGATGCTGTGAGGAGTCCATACACTGATCTCTAGAGATCCCTGTAGCGAGTCTTGAAAGGTCATCCAATGTCGTCCCGACAAATGGCACCTGAAAGCCAGCTTTGGGAGACTCGTCCTGCAAAATCTTGATGGCCTCCAAACGGGCTGAATCTTGAGCTTGGTGTCACAAATCTGGACAGACTGGAAGAATGTAACAAATTCTGTCACATGGATTCACATGGCCATGTTGATGATTACCAATTTTAAACATCAATCTCAATAGTGAAGTGCTACCAAGCACAAAAATGAACATTGCAGGGCCTCTGTGTAGGTCAGCCGAGCAAACGGCTCAGCCAGCAGGTTTTCCAATCTCTTGATGAGCCTGTGAGATCAATGGGCCAATGGGACCAAAAATCAGCAAAAATCCCCCTGGGAGACGATGGACGAAGGATCTGAGCTACCAGCCCCTTTTCGATCTTGTCTTCGAAAAATTCTAAGTCCTCGTGTTTTGACAGTGACTGTGAAACACAGGGGACCTCACGTAGCATGATTCTTCAACACAGTTGAAGCAAAGCGCTCTCTCTTCACATGGGATTTGGAAATCGTCATTCCGACAATGTCGAGAATCCAGCTACTGATTTCTTCACTCTTTGAATTTGCCAACTGCATCGTTGAAACTTTGAATCTTGTTGCAAGTTCAGAGCTAAATTAGTAGTTGCCCGGTCCGCACGGTTGTGGACCATGGCGTACTTCACGCAATATTTGAGGTAGTCCTGTGCATGTCCGAGAGCCAAGACTTTCTTCAGCCAATGGACGATTGGAACAGCTGGCACCAGCCCAGTTGTGACCAGTTGGGGCCTCCGCAAGGGTCATATCGTCGAAAATGTCAGCGAAGGCGAGCTCTGGTTCGATCATCCAGAACTCTGCCAGGTGCCTCACGGCCACTCAACTCATTCATAAAAGGTGAAGGATACGCATCAGTCAACAGCAAACATTAGCAGTCATCTGTAGCCATTCACCGTATTCTCTGTCTCGCATATGTATAGATGTTTTGTCTGCTTGATTTATTTCACCAATAGACTATATTATATAAATAACATGTTTCTATTTTTCGCGGCATGTAGCTGCCCCGGAGATCCAGATACCGGAAAAAATGAGATGTGTATATTTTACAAGTACATCCCACATCCATCACTCCCGAGAACCACCTTAGCTATCTAAATCCCATGAAATCCCATGAAAAATCCTACTATTATAAATCCTAGTATCCTACTAAGTCCCAGCTGTCCCCCAGCTGTCCATCACTCCAGGCCACCGGGAGGTGTGGCTGTTCTCAGCTCGGAAGGTGGGACCGAAGGTGTAGACCTTGGAGAGGGAGCAGCAGTAGTTCTCCACGGACAGCCTCGACGCCAAAACCCGGTGAGATCCCAGGCCGAAGTCCATGGCTAGGGGGGAAAGGAAGAAAGGGAAGATGCGAAATCTGGAAACCACTGGAAACTAGTGTAAATTTGATGATAGATGATGTTTGATGCTAGTTGAGATGGTGTTGGATGGTAGTTGATGAGAGCTGATGAGAGCTGATGAGAGCTGATGAGAGCTGATGATGCTTCACGATATTACTGATAATTGATAATAATTGATGAAACAAACAATGCCCAAAAAATCATCCCCATGAGGAAAGCTCTGGAAAAAGATCTGGCCAATACAAGTGATAGATGGATGTTAATCCCTCAAATATGAGGTTGCAGGTATCTGATCCATGCGGGTTTGTCTCAAAATTGAGGACGGACCTCCACTTTCTGGCCCTTGAAAGATTGGGAAACGAAGGTAAACCATACGATGTTCCAAATGTTTCCCCAATTTTGAGACAACTCCAGGTGTGATTCATGGGCATCTGCCACCAACCCATTGCGAAACAGGATCTCCAACTCACCCTGCGTAACTCTGAGATACACACTGGCCACTGACGGTCAAGAAGGCCGGCTTTTGGAAGAAATCTTTGGAGTAGTCAAACTGGGCAAAACATCAAATATCTAGAGATACCATCCAGTTATCTCACTGGGCAAAATGGAGCAGTCTGAGAAAACCTGTGCCCTCCTCAAATAGCCTTTGCAAAAGCTTGTCGTTGTCTCGCGTGGAAAAAACAGACCGGTTTTTTTGCAATTCATACCAAATCCACAATGAGTTGAGATCAACAAAATGTGAAAGCATGCTAACAACCAAAGCTAGTTGTCTCATGGTGTCCCGTGCGTCCGCCTTCCCTCCCACCATTGGTAGTGGCTTGCCATCTTTCTCTGCATCCATCATCATTGTGGTGACCTGGAACCTCAGTGGATTCTGTGGAGAAGAAAACTCCCCCAAAATCCCACGCGTGATCATCATTTTTCCCCATAAAAATGAATCGCTTGCCCACAAAAATCATCATGTTCCCCATAAACTCATCATTGTCCTCATAAAGGTCATCGTTTTCCGCATAAAAATCATCATGTTCCCCATGAAAATCCCATTTCGGACACACCTGTCAATGCTTCAGTTGAGACGCATCTCGCCAGCACCTTCACAGTCTGCTGCAGTGATCAGCGGTGTGTGAACCTGGAGTCACTCATCCGATGAAACGTCTGCAACATCAGTTCTATATGGGATTGCTATGGGATTACTATGGGAATAATATGGAACAACCATCAATAATGAGAATAATGTATTATTATTTAACATTATTAATATGATCAATAATCCCATGTAATGATGGTTAATAATGATAATGTAACTATTGGCCATCAATACCATCAATAATAGGGGATTCCTGGGCCCCACAAACATGGCACCACGCGGTCGCGGTTCGCGGAAAGTTTACGCGCGATTCACTGAGGCAGCTGACATAAAGGAAACCATTGGACCTGCCGAGGATTCACCAAAACGATATGTGCTAGGGTCCAAATATGGCATATGGTATGCATATGATCTATGATCATTTATGATTCAATTTATGATCAATGGCTGGTTTATGATCATTTATGATCATCCATCCCAGAAGGAGAATCGTGATAAATGTGCGTAAGAAACTCCATATTAGTCGATTGCTGACCATAACCCAATATCAGAAACTAACCCATGTTTGACAAAGTCACATATGTTCTCAAGAGATTGGTGGCCAGGATTCCTCTCCTCAAACATACCGCCTGAAGAATTCATGCGTTGCTTGTGCAAGGGCTGCACGCACACGTGCAACCTGAGCATGTGTCAACTTCACGGGGGACAATTTGACTTGAACAATCCGGGTAAACCCAGTAGCCCTACAGAAAATGAAGTTGTGCAGTTTGTAGTTTTGCGAGGTGCTTCCCTTCGGCTCTCCAAATCTAAAGGAACCCATGTTGAAGTTTTCTGGCACGCAAAGCATTGAACTGAGTTAGACACGCTGCCGATCAAGTTCGAGCGGGGTCGCAAATGGGCGATGGATCGCAAAAACCTGAATTTTCCACTGAAATGCCACGTAAATTGGCTATGGGTCAAAACATGTTAAAACCCTGGTACGCATGATGAACCCCAAAATAGCTTGGAAACGGATGTCCATCTCCAAAATATTGGGCCAACATATTTTAACCCATGGACGTAACGTCATGTAACGTCCTTGTTTTTTGCACTCTACAGGTGGCCGCGAGCCGGGTTAAGCATGAAGGTTGCTGGCTGCCCAAAAGCAGATCACACCCCGCAAACTCCATGCTATGCATGATAAGTTATCGTAAAGATGGGCAATGTCTAGAACATGCCCATATCACTATAGCATACACTTTACAACAGTCTCCTCAGACTCATGCAAAATGTGGGACCGGCCATCTCTCACAGTTGTCAAAGTTCCGATCGTTTGGACATCATGAGGTGGATGCCTTCCTTTGCGCTGTGGGTAACTGTGATCCAGGGAGTGGGAATCGGGGCTTCTTCTCCAACCCTCAGTCTGAAGTTCTTCACCAAAAAGGCAAGCAAATAGACACCCTCCACATAGGCAAGCCTTTTGCCAATGCAAGTCCTGCCACCAAAGCCGAAAGGCAAGTGAAGCTCCGGATAGCCCTTTTCCATCCTTTCAGGAGAAAAGTTCATGACATCTGGTCCCCAAATCTCCTCACTGCGCGTCAGCATGACTTGGGAAACAGCGACGATGCTGCCAGCTGGCAGTTTGTACTTTCCTCCCAAGGTAGTGTCAACCTCGGCCTGCCGACCAATCATGGTGACAGTTGGATGCAAGCGTAATGCTTCTTGCCAAGCCATCCACGAGTAGGGAAGCATGCTCTGAACATTCGTCAGGGGGAGGGTATCCAGGTCGACTGCCGATGCTTCTGCGAGAATCTTCTCTTGGACCTCTGGATGGCAAGCAACCTCATAGAGAGCCCATGATGTGGTGTAGCCCGTGGTCTCATGACCTGCGATCAGCAGTGTCAGAATTTCATCGGTCAACTCTGCCTTACTCATCTTTTTGTCACCCTCATGTGCATCCTGAAGGGCCTTCAGCATGTTCAACCTGGAACCTTCCGACTTGCCAGAGCTCAAGACCGCATTGATCCGCTTGTCCAAGTTCCCAGTTGCCTTCCGCCAGCGCATGAAACGCCGGGGCATATATCTCATGAACGTTGGCTCTGCATTGCGTTTCGCCGTCTCCTGGAGCAGGACCTCTGAAGCTTCTAGAAACCTCAACAGCATGCAATAGCACCCTCAAAAGAAATACAGAAGAAACATGATTGGCCACACATTCCTTGAGGTCTATGACTCTAAAAAAGCAAACCAGCGAGGACAAGTTTGTAAGAGTCAGTCATATTTTATAATACATGTTGATGTTTTTTCAACTTTAAACCAGGACAGCTTCTTTTTTCAGCTTAAAGTTCAGGAACTCCAGCTCGCCAGCAGCCTCTGCTTTGCTCAATTCCTGAGGGTGCCCCTCTGGCAGGTATGTCATCATCGCATTGGAATTGAAGCCGAAGCCAATGCTGCCGATGATGTCCAAGGTAATAAGCTTCAGGCATTGTTGGAGGTCACACTGGGCCTCTGGACTCTTGGTATCTTTGATCCTCTCGTTCAGAACGAATCGCAGCAAGTCAGCCTTTTCATGAACCTGCTCAGAATAGCCCAGCAAGAATTTGTCACTGAACAAGGGTGCAACCAAACGGCGATGGAATGCCCACTGAGAATGGGGCCCTTCCGATCTCAATGCGAGCAAACCCAAGGGGATAGTGTTGTCAAATACCATGCCGGATGCTCGTGAATGAAAGACGTCCTTTTTGGACAGGATCTCCGCGATGATTGCTGGATCACGAGTATGCAAGTAGAACTCGTGGTTCCGGAGAAGCCACTTGGGCAATCGGACCCCCCAAGTGTCCCCAAGCTCCTCATAGGTTTGCTTGATTGTGGGCAGGGCCTTGTCAGGTTTGGTCATCTTCACCAAAGTTCCGACACCACCAAAGATCACTGACTCTTCTTTTGGCTGAGGGATGTCGGCAAAGAACTCCTTCCGCTGCCGGCTGGTTCTTAAGAGGTAAGCATAGACCGCAGCAGGCGTAAGCATGGCAGCTGCCCCTGCTGCCCCTGCCACACACCAATTGGGAACATCCACACCGGCAACACTGGGCATCTTGGCTGTGGGCGCCCAACTTCTGATTCCAAATCAATGAGCCGAAATGTCTGGAGCTAACACCTGAATTTTCCACTGAAATGCCTGGTAAACTGCAGCAAAATAGCTTGGTATAGGTGAATGATGGTGAATGTACAATGATGTTCATGCCCTCACCTAGTGGGCCCATGAGTTTTAACCCATACCGGAGAGTGTCTGACAGGCTGAGCCCGCAGCTCATGGCTATGGCCTTTCTTCGAAAGGGGATATTCCTCTCACAGTGTGGACATCTGGAGGCACTGCAGTTTGGAGACCAAGATGACCCCATGTTGAAAACAGATGCCTCTGAATCTAGTGAGCTTTCGGGCTTTCACGGCTCGGGTCACACTAAACTTCTGGAGCAATATACTCCAGCACCCAGACTTGATCAACGATGATAAAAGCACAATTCAAAACCGAAGAATGGTGGAACAGTATGAAACAAAGTGAGGCACCGCCACCAGCTTTCAGCAGGTTTTCCACTGTACCCCAGAGAGGTGAGAGTTTTTGACAGCAGCTCCTTCGCATCAACACCTCCAAATAGCACAACTTCAGTACCTGGTTCCTGGCAGATGCCCCCCTGGTAGTGCTTACATCATGGACGTTGTTTGATGTTTGAGTACCTTGCCTGTCTAATCATGTCATATCCAGAAAAAAAAACTGCTCTCAGCTGTCAATGGGTCCATGGGAAAGCATTCACATCTTCAAAGTTTTAACCTCCTTTCTTTGTCCCACTTCTGCCTTCACAAGCAGCTCCACTGCTTGATTTTTTCCAGGAGACTCCACAATCTGCCAGGAAAAAAACACATCTAAAAAATCGCAGAAGGTTTGATGTATGTTGAAGCTTCGAGACATCTGTTCTGTGATACTTACCTGTGCTCTTGACCATTGGACTTCCACACTCCAAACAAGTCAATCTCGGTAGGAGCTTCTCAACAGTTGTGGCCCACCTTTCCCACACACTTCAAGGAAGCTCCAGTGCCCACTTGGCCCTTCAAGCCTAAGCAGGGGAGCAGGGGCTACAAGTAAGTGGATGTGGATATGACAAATCATGTATGAGCTTATTAATCCCCCAGGCAAGAAGTAATATTATGTTACAAGCGATATATAATCTCACTAAGAACTGGCGATGAGTGTTCTGGCACTGGCCCCTTTTTATCTCAAATCCTCGGGACACACAAGTGCCCTGAACTTCAAAGGTGAAACCTGCTCAAAAGTATCTGTTCAAAGCAATTTGTGGCCATCTTTGCCATCCATGAACTCGCAGTTTCTGAGAGCTCAAAACCGCCTTCTTTTCTTGTCGTTTGCAATCGATGGCGGGCCATTTTGTGCAAAGAGGTCCAAGACGCACTGAGGAAATTCTTCGGTTTTCAACCTGTCCTGTACCGACTGCGACGCTTCCCCAAAGGATCGGCAGGACTCCTTCAACCTCGTGAGGTCCTTCAATACCGCGGCCTCGGCGATGGCCAGGAAGTCGTCATCGCTGATCATCTCCTGGCCAGCAGGACGTCACAAAAAGAAAGCTTTAAACATCAATGATCGAAAAAAAGATATAATTCAGATGTGTATGTGTGTATATATAATATAATTATATGTTATATATATATATCAATGTCGAATGATAATATCCTGATAGTAATTCAAAATAAGTCAATGCAATTATAAAATTATAATAGCGTTCAACAGAAGCCAACATGGGCAGGTTTAGAACTGTGATGGGCCACCCCGCACCTCCAACACCTCTGAGAGAATCACGACAACGCCATTGACTTGCCATCGATGTGCCAAGTCCAGCGCAGCCAAGACATCTTGGCAGGTGGGTTCCAAACGACTGGAGCATGTGTAGAGGGTCTCAAGGAAAAGCTGCACGGCACTGCTGGACGTATCCCTCACTTCAATTTGTCGGGTTCCACCTTCTCTCATCGGTGAGTGCAGCATAGCTTTCAGCACTGGGGACGCCTCCAGCAGTACGAGTGAATGAGCTGTGACTGGTTTGCCGGCAGTTTGAAAGGCCACATCATGTGAGGCTGTTGATTCCAAGATGCGTTCCCAAAGATCCACCACGCTCTTGTCAACCCGGACTTGATCTCGTTGCGAAGACATGGATGCCACTGACGCACTGGTCATCAAACGTCTGGCTTTTCGAAGTAGTTTCGACAACGAGGGAACTTCCAACTTCTTATGGGTCTTCATCAAGGCAGTGATGGAGCTAAAAGCAGAGTGCCCTGCCAACGAAATCTTCTCAGCTGCTGAGAGTCTCACACTGCAATTGGAGACATCTGGTAGTGTGTAGGTTGGATCAGCACCTTGTCTGATAAGCCACTCGATGATGTCCAGATATTTTCTTTTTCTCTTTTGCGCCAGCCTGCAGATTGCTTTGATCAGTGGGGTGCTTCCTTCTGAAGGGTGGGTCTTGTTCCAATCCACATTCGTTTCGGAGAGCTTTCGCAGAGCCTCCAGATCACCGTCTTCCAAAGCTGCCCACACCACCCGTTGTAGGTCTCGTGCTGCCAATGGCATGACGTAGCAGGGCTGCGCGCAGGTGTGCTATGTACAGGAAAGTCTCAAGGGCACAAAAGACTGCAGAAATAGTGGGAAAACTAAAATATTAAGATATACGTATATTTAAGATATATTAAGTATGTAAGTGTGAATAAAGGATATATATATATGAGGGTTGTCCAAAATACCTTTTCCCGGACAGCCCTCAATCGCTCAGCCAATCGCGTAGCAACCGCGGTACCACAGTGAGCAATCGCGGAAGGGTTTGTTCTTCGTTGATCAGATCATATACATAAAATATAAGTTATGTATTATCAAAGGAAGTTTAGGGGGAGAAACTTCCGTGTTACGGACTTTTAGAATGTCAGGGAAAGAGTTAGTCAAAGAAAGAGTTCGTGAGGGAAAGAGTTAGTCAAAGAAAGAGTTAGCAAAGAAAGAGTTCGTCAGGGAAAGAGTTAGTCAAAGAAAGAGTTCGTCAGGGAAAGAGTTAGTCAAAGAAAGAGTTAGTGAGGGAAAGAGTTAGTCAAAGAAAGAGTTAGTCAGGGAAAGAGTTAGTCAAAGAAAGAGTTAGTGAGGGAAAGAGTTAGTCAAAGAAAGAGATAGTGAGGGAAAGAGTTAGTCAAAGAAAGAGTTAGCAAAGAAACAGTTAGTCAGGGAAAGAGTTAGTCAAAGAAAGAGTTAGCAAAGAAACAGTTAGTCAGGGAAAGAGTTAGTCAAAGAAAGAGTTAGTGAGGGAAAGAGTTAGTCAAAGAAAGAGTTAGTGAGGGAAAGAGTTAGTCAAAGAAAGAGTTAGTGAGGGAAAGAGTTAGTCAAAGAAAGAGTTAGTTAGTCAGGGAAAGAGTTAGTCAAAGAAAGAGTTAGTGAGGGAAAGAGTTAGTCAAAGAAAGAGTTAGCAAAGAAACAGTTAGTCAGGGAAAGAGTTAGTCAAAGAAAGAGTTAGTGAGGGAAAGAGTTAGTCAAAGAAAGAGTTAGTCAGGATATATGAGGTAGTCAAAGCAAGAGTTAGCAAAGAAACAAGTTAGTCAAAAAAAGAGTTAGTGAGGGAAAGAGTTAGTCACAGAAAGAGTTAGCAAAGAAACTGTTCCCTCACTGTAAATGGGATTGCAAGTGGTGCTGGTGGAGGAGTTGCCGATGAAGTTTTGGAGGAAGTCTCGCACGAAATGCGTTTTTGAGAGATAGCAGATGCACGAAAGCCTATGTTTTTCCATACAAAGTCCGTCCCCGAACCTCGATGATCTACCTCTGCGGTGCGACGGGTGCGAGACGGTCTCGTGTGTGGTCGGATCATGCTCGGATCATGTTCGGATCGGTTCCGCATTGTAAATGGGGTTTCACCTGTGTTTCGTGCATGTGTGGTCGACAGAATTCCATTGTGATTTGCAACTGTAGGATCGTTCCCGCATTGTAAATGGGGTTGCAAGTGGTGCTGGTGGATGAGTTGCCGATGGAATTCCATTGTGATTTGCAACTCTAGGATCGTTCCCTCACTGTAAATGGGATTGCAAGTGGTGCTGGTGGAGGAGTTGCCGATGGAGTTTTGGAGGAAGTCTCGCACGAAATGCGTTTTTGAGAGATAGCAGATGCACGAAACCCTATGTTTTTCCATACAAAGTCCGTCCCCGAACCTCGATGATCTACCTCTGCGGTGCGACGGGTGCGAGACGGTCTCGTGTGTGGTCGGATCATGCTCGGATCATGTTCGGATCATGTTCGGATCGGTTCCGCATTGTAAATGGGGTTTCACCTGTGTTTCGTGCATGTGTGGTCGACAGAATTCCATTGTGATTTGCAACTGTAGGATCGTTCCCGCATTGTAAATGGGGTTGCAAGTGGTGCTGGTGGATGAGTTGCCGATGGAATTCCATTGTGATTTGCAACTCTAGGATCGTTCCCGCAATGTAAATGGGATTGCAAGTGGTGCTGGTGGATGAGTTGCCGATGGAATTCCATTGTGGCTGCATTTGGATTTGTTAGCACTCTTTTGGCGCTAGTGATCGTGCTTCCGTCTTTTTTTCGCTCAAATGGGATTGCAAGTGGTGCTGGTGGATGAGTTGCCGATGGAATTCCATTGTGCTTTGCAACTGCAGGATCGTTCCCGCAGTGTAAATGGCTGCGTCAAGGTTGCTTCGTGCTGTGGCTGCATTGGTAATACTATTGTCTTTTGCAGCTGGATCTCGTAAATCGTACTGGAGTGGCTGCATGAAGGCTGCCACAGTGATTTGTCAGCAGATTTTCTCCATTTTGGCGCTAGTGATTTTCCTTCTAAAAATCCTTTTAAAAAGTGCTTCAAAATCGTCTTTTTTTCGCTCTGGCGTCGAGATCCGGTTTTGGAGCTACAATTTCCGACGCCGTTGCGCGTAGTTCTATTGTGTTTTGGAACTCAATCTCTGCAGATCGCATTGTAATGGCTGCGTCAAGGTTGCTGCGTGCTGTGGCTGCATTCGTAATACTATTGTCTTTTGCAGCTGGATCTCGTAAATCGTATTGGAGTGGCTGCATGAAGGCTGCGACACATGGATTTGTTAGCAGATTTTCTCCATTTTGGCGCTAGTGATTTTCCTTCTAAAAATCCTTTTAGAAAGTGCTTCAAAATCGTCTTTTTTTCGCTCTGGCGTCGAGATCCGGTTTTGGAGCTACAATTTCCGACGCCGTTGCGCGTAGTTCTATTGTGCTTTGCAACTCAGTCTCTGCAGATCGCATTGTAATGGCTGCGTCAAGGTTGCTTCGTGCTGTGGCTGCATTCGTAATACTATTGTCTTTTGCAGCTGGATCTCGGAAATCGTCTTGGAGTGGCTGCATGAAGGCTGCGACATGGATTTGTTAGCAGATTTTCTCCATTTTGGCGCTAGTGATTTTCCTTCTAAAAATCCTTTTAAAAAGTGCTTCAAAATCGTCTTTTTTTCGCTCTGGCGTCGAGATCCGGTTTTGGAGCTACAATTTCCGACGCCGTTGCGCGTAGTTCTATTGTGCTTTGCAACTCAGTCTCTGCAGATCTTATTGTAATGGCTGCGTCAAGGTTGCTTCGTGCTGTGGCTGCATTCGTAATACTATTGTCTTTTGCAGCTGGATCTCGGAAATCGTCTTGGAGTGGCTGCATGAAGGCTGCGAAATGGGTTTGTTAGCAGATTTTCTCCATTTTGGCACTAGTGTTTTTTTGTTGGACGTACGTTTAGAGCAGTGTGAAGTGTGGGGCGTGAAGAGTGCAGTGTGAAGTGTGAAGTGTGAAGGAAGCAGTGGGAAGTGAGAAGTGTGAAGTGTGGAGTGTGAAGTTTCAGTTTGGAGTGCGAAGAGCGCAGTGTGAAGTGTGAAGTGTGAGGTTTGGAGTGTGAAGGAAGCAGTGAGAAGTGAGAAGTGTGAAGTGTGGACTGTGAAGTGTGAAGTGTGGAGTGTGAAGTTTGGAGTGCGAAGAGCGCAGTGTGAAGTGTGAAGTGTGAGGTTTGGAGTGTGAAGGAAGCAGTGAGAAGTGAGAAGTGTGAAGTGTGAAGTGTGAGTGAAGTGTGGAGTGTGAAGTGCGAAGTGAGAAGTGTGAAGTTTGGAGTGTGAAGTTTGGAGTGGGAAGGAAGCAGTGAGAAGTGAGAAGTGTGAAGTGAGAAGTGTGAAGTGTGGACTGTGCAGTGTGGAGTGCGAAGAGCGCAGTGTGAAGTGTGAAGTGTGAAGTGTGAGGTTTGGAGTGTGAAGAAAGCAGTGAGAAGTGTGAAGTGTGGACTGTGAAGTGTGAAGTGTGAGTGAAGTGTGGAGTGTGAAGTGCGAAGTGAGAAGTGTGAAGTTTGGAGTGTGAAGGAAGCAGTGAGAAGTGAGAAGTGTGAAGTGAGAAGTGTGAAGTGTGGACTGTGAAGTGTGGAGTGTGAAGTGCGAAGTGAGAAGTGTGAAGTGTGAAGGTTGGAGTGTGAAGGAAGCAGTGAGAAGTGAGAAGTGTGAAATGTGGAGTGTGAAGTGTGAAGTGTGAAGTGCGAAGTGAGAAGTGTGGACTGTGAAGTGTGAAGTGTGAAGTGTGGACTGTGAAGTGTGAAGTGTGAAGTGTGGACTGTGAAGTGTGAAGTGTGCAGTGTGAAGTGTGAAGTGTGAGGTTTGGAGTGTGAAGGAAGCAGTGAGAAGTGAGAAGTGTGGAGTGTGAAGTGTGGAGTGTGAAGTTTGAAGTTTGGAGTGCGAAGAGGGCAGTGTGCAGTGTGAGGTGTGGAGTGTCGAGGGAAGGACACGGTCGGGACAGGTTGTCTTTGAACTATAGGTCATTTATGTTTGGGAAACTTCCGCCGCCGGCTTGCCCGGGTCTATGTTATAATGAGGATCCATGCGTGAACGCATTCGATTTCAAATTTGGGAACAAAATAAGCTCGCGCGGTCCGGAAACGGTCCGGAAAACTCACAGTAGTACCAGCAGCAGTAGTACTAGTATTACTAGTAGTACTAGTAGTACTAGTAGTACTAGTAGTACTAGTCGTAGTCGTAGTCGTAGTCGTAGTCGTAGTCGTAGTCGTAGTCGTAGTAGTAGTAGTAGTAGTCGTCGTAGTAGTAGTAGTAGTAGTAGAGGGGTAAGAGTAGGAGTAGGAGTAGGAATAGGAGAAGGAGTTCTAGTAGCAGGGCAAGGGAAGAAAGGGAGAGGGAGGGAAAGAGAGAAAGAGAGAGAGAGAGGGAGGGAGGGGGAAACAGATGGTTGCGTTTGACCGGTTTCTTTCTGACGGGTTTCTGACTGGTTTCTGACTCGTTTCTGACCCTTCAGCGGAACTCGTGTCAATTGGATTTAAAAGCAAGAGCAGAAATTCCTAGGTGTACTAGTGGTAGTGGTGGTGCAGTAGCAGCGGGTGTGGTGGTAGTACTAAGAGTAGTAGCAAATCTAGTAGTGGGAGTAAGGATCCATGCGTGAACGCATTCGATTTCAAATTTGGAAGCAAAATAAGCTTGTGCGGTCCGGAAACGGTCCGGAAAACTCACAGTGCACTAGCAGTAGCAGTAGCACTAGCAGTAGTGGTAGTGGAAATTGGAATAGGAGTAGGCGTAGGAGTTCTGGTAGGAGGGTGAGGGAATAGGCAAGGGAGAGAGAGAGAGAGGTTGCGTTTGGAGTAGGAGTAGGAGTAGAAGTAGGAGTAGGAGTAGGAGTAGTAGTAGGAGTAGTAGTAGTAGTAGCAGTAGTAGCAGTAGTAGTAGCAGTAGTAGTAGTAGCAGGAGTAGTAGTAGTAGTAGTATTAGTAGCAATGATAAGAGCTGAGGTGGATGGATGGATGGATGGATGGATGGGATGCTAGGCAAGTGCTGCCTTTTTGGTGTTTCTGACCTGTTTCTGACCTGTTTCTGACCTGTTTTCAATTGGAGCTAGCTTGAATGTCCTTCTGACCTGAAAACATCTGCGCGGATTCCGCGCGCGCGGAATCCGCGCGGCCATGTCAATTATTGGCATGGTTCTGGTCTCGAAAGTAGTAGTAGTAGTAGTAGTAGTCGTACTCGTAGTAGTAGTAGTAGTAGTAGTAGTAGTAGTAGTCGTAGTAGTCGTAGTAGTCGTAGTAGTCGTAGTAGTAGTAGTAGGAGGAGGAGTAGTAGAAGTAGTAATAGTAGTAATAGTAATAGTAGAAGTAGCAATGATAAGAGCTGAGGTGGATGGATGGATGGATGGATGGATGGATGGATGGATGCTAGGCAAGTGCTGCCTTTTTGGTGTTTCTGACCTGTTTCTGACCTGTTTCTGACCTTTCCCGGAGTCTTCTTCAACTTCAAAAAAATCAGCACGGGCAGTCAAACTAGGAACAATTTTAGTGATCGTCAAAGTAATATCATTACTAGTGCCCCAAATACTAGTACTAGTGCTACTAGTAGTAGTAGTAGTAGTAGGAGGAGGAGGAGGAGTAGAAGTAGTAATAGTAGTAATAGTAATAGTAATAGTAGAAGTAGCAATGATAAGAGCTGAGGTGGATGGATGGATGGATGGATGGATGGATGGATGGGATGCTAGGCAAGTGCTGCCTTTTTGGTGTTTCTGACCTGTTTCTGACCTGTTTCTGACCTGTTTTCAATTGGAGCTAGCTTGAATGTCCTTCTGACCTGAAAACATCTGCGCGGACTCCGCGCGCGCGGATTCCGCGCGCGCGGAATCCGCGCGGCCATGTCAATTATTGGCATGGTTCTGGTCTCGAACGTAGTCGTAGTAGTAGTAGTAGAAGTAGTAGTAGTAGTAGTAGTAGTAGTAGTCGTACTCGTACTCGTACTCGTACTCGTACTCGTACTACTAGTACTACTAGTACTACTAGTACTACTAGTAGTAGTAGTAGTCGTAGTAGTCGTAGTAGTCGTAGTAGTCGTCGTAGTAGTAGTAGTAGTAGTAATAGGGTTGTAGCCGTATAACCAATCGCCAACCAATCGCTCAGCCTATCGCGATGCAGGTTTTAGCAATCGCGCAAAGCAAAGTAAACGCATCAATTCATAAATGTGTGACCTGCTTTTACGGACGGCTCCCATATATATATATATATGTGTGCCTATGCGATCCTATGCATATGTGTGCTATCCATTTGATCCCAGCTGGATTGCCAAATCGAGCATCCACAAGGTTCGACTTAGAAATCTTGTAGCCGCTGTAGCCGGTTGGCAACGCAGCAACAAACTCTGTCATCGATAAACAAAGTATTGCGCCTTGTTACCACTGCCCAGTGCGGCTCGGTGATAAGTGCCTCACTGTCAAAGCCTTTTGCACTCGAATCGATCACCACCTGTGCGGCTCTCTGTGCGGCTCTCTCTCTCTCTCTCTCTCTCTGGATGTCTTGCTCAGTCGGCAGAGAATCGCTGACAAATTAGCTCAATCTATCTAATCTATCTGGTGTAATACTCGTCCATGTCATCTTTTTCTTTCAATCACAACAGTAACCCAACATAACCTAATAACCTAACCATATAGACACAGCAGGTAGGAAATCCGCCTGGATATCCAAAGGTATGGATCCATCGTTCAACTGGATGAAGTACAGCTTGCCCTTGTCCGCCTGGCCACTCTCCCAATTTTTTTCAGGTCTCACAGGTCTCACATCAATGCTACCCTCTGGTAAACTAACATAGCTATTGAAAATGGCCATTTATAGTGAGTTTTCCCATTAAAAATTGTGATTTTCCATAGTTATGTTAGTTTACCAAAGGGTATCAATGCCATCAATGCCATCCGCGAGGCCGCCTCTCGGGCCGTCTTGACCCAGCCACACAGACTGACCGTCTGTCCCACCATGCTCTTTCCCATGTCTTCCGCCACCACAATCCGCTTGATCTCCGTTCGGCCACCCACGCAACTGCTGTAGCCTGGGGATCCCCAAAAGGTGATCCAACATGGATTTCTGGGAAGATATCCAGAGATCATTTTTCGGACATACTGAATTGCATGACTAATGAGTTGTAGTAAGTCAATGAGTCTGAGAACCAACAAAATGCATCAATTGTGCATCGGCTGCCCAACGACAGCTCAACGTCTGGTGGCTTTTGTTGTCTGCTTCTAGCTTCAGTGCACAACGTTCCAACATATGCGTGTGTCAATGGGTTTTTTTAGCCCCAAATGGCCATCAAACATGCCGGGCTGTACGATCAACCATGGTAGTCGGTGCAATGGGTGCCGGTGGCTCTGCAGCAGCTTGAACCGGGGCCTTTGCTGCCTGGCATTTGTCAGAAACGACTATCAATTTCAGAGGGAAAAACATGTGGTTTCCTGGCTTCCTTATCCACCAACCCAATGATGGCTTTTTGATCCATTGTTGCAAACCTCATGTCCCCAACATCCGCCTTCCCAGCAGGCGCTGCAGCTGCCGGGGCAGCTGCTGGGGCAGGTGCTGCTGTCTTGGGGACCTTCACGAAGTCAAAGCTGGAGGCTGCCTCGAATCAGGCCACCATGTTGGACCATTGGACCGTGTTGGATTTCACCTTCTCAGATCAGCCATACAGAAACTCAGCACTTCGAACACGGCAAACAACAACGAAAATATCGAATGGGTCATCTCAAAAATGTTGTTGCCGTGTTCGACCATGTTGATCACATTCATATTGTGCTTGCCATTCACCAGGAATGCCGCCTACTGTTATTCCCAACATCAAATCCCCCAAATCGGGGTTCTCATACAAAACATTACAAAACCATATCAAACCACAGTAAATCCATACTAAATCCAGGAATTTTTCAGGGTTGTTTTTCAGGGTATCCCATCGAAAAAATGGTGTTTTTTTCTCCCATGGGATTCTCCACAGCCATCGAACCACCTCTGTCGCCAAGCAGGTGCCCAGCCAGCGTTTCGTCGCGCGGCCCAAGGATGTCACCAGGCCCTGTGAGGCAGTGATAAAAATCCCATGATTTAGGTAGGAATATATAGGAATATCATAGGTGATATTTATCACTATAACTATAAAATAACTATAAATCACCAAAAAAATCCTGATATATATAGGTGATATCATATGTATCATGTGAAGAAATACAGGTTTTTTTACATATTTCATCAGAGTTTGAGCTGAACTGGGATGGTTTGAGGAGCTGAGGTTTTTTCGATACCAGGTGAAACTTGGGGGGTATGATAGGGTACATGGGGATAGATGATGATAGATGTGGTATAAACTGGGTGTGCCACATTAGTCGGAATTTTCCAATCGAGAACGGACGTCCATCTCCTTGGACAAGGGGAGGTGTTGCATTTGGCCCCTAAACAGAAGAGCTTGAAACGCAACAAATGCATCAACATGACGCATCAAAATTTGTTCATGACGCTCCGAGATTATCGATTCTCCAAGAATTCCATCCGCACCTGTTGCTGGAAGCAGTACAAGGGGATGCTGGCTGCAACATCCGCCAAAGTGAAGCGTTGCCCAACCAAGAAGACCTTAACCGGTGTGTTGGTGAACAGCGGAAAGTTCCCAGAATCGGTTGAGATGGAAAGTCTACTTGCTGAACTCCGGGACTCACTACAAATACTGCGGAAGACCTCGGTTTCTTGATGTTTCCTGCATGCTTTTTCTTCCCCTGGTGGCCACTGCCCAAGTTCCCAAATTTCTTCAGGGACCCGTTGGTCCAGATGCTTCTCCAATGCGTCCAGGGCCTGGTCAAAGGGGGTACCCCCTTTCCATCATCCAGTCGTCATGAGACCATGACTTAGTATTGAAACCTGTGAGTTGGGGGTTTGACCCAAGGTTGAAAAAATGGATGTTGGGCCGTCCCCACATCCACATGGTCCCTATAGGTGTTCACCATCCTCAAATCCCCAAATGTGAAATTTCAATTTTGTTTCAACAGCGCGGAACTGAAGAGAATTCGTGTGACTCCACGTGGAGCCATACAAAATGCGGCCTTCTCCAAATTGGTCGGTGGATTGGCAAACTCCATCAGGCTCCAGTCTAACCACATGTCGACCTGCAAAATTGATTCGAACCTTGGAGGTAGAATTTGTGATTTGGTCTCTGGCTGCCCGTATGACTATGGTGTGCACCCCAAGAAAAAGAGACTAAAAGATAAAATGAAAAGGGATTTGCCATGAATTTAGTAGGATTTGGATTTGTTTGTTTTGTTCCTTATATAACTGATGTTTCTATCTCGGCTCACAGCCGCGACCTCAGCCGACTCGAAGAAACTATTGCCATAGACCTGGGACGAAATTCATGGAATCCCCAGCCGTGGTTTTCGATCTACGACGGGGGTCCATTGGAAGTCCATTGGGGTCATGAATGGTTGTAATCTATAGATATCTATTAGATATCTATAGATATCTATAGATATCTATAGATATCTATAGATATCTATAGATATCAACAGATCATAGATATCTATAGATCATAGATGAATGATGATGAATGGATCAAATGGATCTAAAATATTGAATCTCTAGATAATTTAGGGGGCTAAACCACCTATGGAACAACCTGTGTAGTTACTGGGAAGGGATTGCAAGATGACAACCAGAGCAGAGCGGACCTCACCACCTTCGTGATAGCGTCCAAAGAATCGCATCATGGCTCCAGTGTACCTCGGAACATCATGGTGGTCACGTTGATCTGGGGTAGAAATATGTAGAAATAGGCAAATCACTAAGGGCACTTGAGAGTCTGTTCTCCAAACTTCAAATAGGGTGCTGCTTCGCCTTTTTGGGCCTGGCTTCCACGGAGACTGACCAAATCTGAATCCTGATGGATTGGGAGATCCCTGCCTCCATCTTCACATCCACATCGGCTGCCTTGGCAGCCACCAGAACCATTTTAGTCCTGACCTCGGTCCATTGGCCAACATCAATTCGAAAGCCGGATGTCTGAAATTCCAGGCGTCGAAACGACAAATCCAGCTGCGAATCTGAGTCAGTGTACATCCTCCTTATTCCCAACCAAGATGGCGGTTTTGCCTGGTATCACATTAGCAATAGCATGTCCAAATGCCAACACTGAAAGGTCGGTGTGAAATCTGTGAAGTGTCCTGCCAATGATGCGTCCCCGCCCTGAACTCGCCTGGCATGGGAAGTCGCAGGAAGTCGCAGAGTCGCAGAGCTCCCAAGAGTTGGTGCTGTAGAGCCCAAGCTGCCCGGATTCGTAGATGCTACAAGTTTTTTGCGTTGCACTTCTCAATCGAATGGGGAAAGGCACTCTTGTGGCACTGGTCTGAGGATTAACAAGATGCACAAGCACCTCTAAAATGAGTATCTACATCAAAATTCTTGGGAACATGCTGCGCAAGGTGAGATGATGCCACATTTTCATCACTCTGCGGGCAAAGCCACGGTTTTTCTGTCAGGAGCGGGTGCGGCTCCTCTACTCAGGTGGATTTCTTGCCCAACATAACTTCCTTTGCCTGCCGTCACTGTGCAGCTGTACCAATCCGGCTGAAGTTTTGGAATTTATCGTCACCACAACAAATCAACATGAATATCTGAATGATCCTGAATCATCAAACTCGCCCACCAAAACAACCACCCTTGGGGATTTTGACCTATCCATCTAATGTTTCTTGCAGCCACCCGTTGCGGGGGGAAGTCCGCAAGCTTAGCCTCGTTGATTTTTGAGGCGATGTAGGTTGAACCGCCCTTGTCGGGGTGGTTGGCAATCAGCAACCTGCAGGCACTCTGTCTACGGTTGCGCTTCACTCTGTCGTTCTATAGTTTTGTATGGGATGGGTCAAAGGCCACCTCTTTTGACCCCGAAATAGTTGGATGCTCATCCCTAGAAAATATGTTTTAAATTGATATCAAAGGTTTTGATCATTTGATCGGAAAGCATCTCGGTGCGTACCTCCGATGCGCTTCGCGCACGGTGTCTTTGCTGGGAGCGACTGAACCAATGTTCAGAATCTTTTTTGCCTCGCAAATCAAATCAGTGATTGGAACTTCATGGGGTTTTAATGGGATTCAAATCACCAAGAAATCAGGTAGTATAAAATCCCAAGTTGGTGGCACATAAATATATATATACATGTATATATATATATTATAATATATATATATATTATTATTATATTATATATATATATATATTATTATATATAAAAGATCAGTCGCTTCATATCATATCACCTCCTGAAATTCAAGGCTGATCTACCGGTGCTCTGTTGGTGTTCAACATTTTCGCTGGACTCGATTGACCCATGCAGCTGGCCTCTGCACGGGTCATGGGTGACTCGAAGCCTTGTAGGCCACCAGCCATGCCGCTAAAGGAAGGCAAGTTGAAGTTCATCTGCCGAAAAGGACCAGTCACCAGCGGTGCAAAGGGACCATCAGTCATCAACTAATATCCCATCACCCATTCAATTTTTTGACGCTCTCCATAAAACCATGGATGTAATAGGAGGTTTACACATATTTATTTCCACATCGTTCCACATGTTTCCCGCGTATTCACCACATCTTTGGGAACTCCGAGCCGGCCCGGATCGCGCCTTCACTCCCGATGCCCGAAGTGCCCGGAGGCCGCCGCGTGCAGCCAAGGCTCCTAAACCTGGCGACGCGGTGAAGAGGTGCGGCCAAACAATGCTGAGTTGGCTGAGGTGAAATACAACTATTATATAATTATATAATTGTAAAATAGCTAAAATTGAATATGATATATATTTATTTATTTATTTACTTACTTACTTATCTATTTATTTACATGTGTATATATGTAAACATATACATGTTTTGTTTAATTGATATATATATATATATATATATGTGTGTGTGTGTAAATATATATATATACATATATATATGTGTGTGTGTATGTTATAATGTAATTCAATAAAACATAAGATGCTATTATATGAAAAAAAACTGATATAATATGAAATAGCTTTAAATATACATATATATATGTGTATATATATTGTATTATAAGGTGTATAATGTAATATAACATATGTTAAATATCATTTAATCCCTTCCCCTATTACTAAACGGTTCCCCCCCAAATAATCAACGCCTGGAGGAGGGTTTAGTAATAGGGGGTGTTTTAGTATTAGGTTGCGAAGTTTCCCCTAATTTTTTGTCAAGCGAAGTGCAGTCCAAGCAGCGGCTGTGTGAACTACACGTCAGCAGTGTTCGAGTGAACATTTGATCCCATTCGTCGCGGTCCATTGCTATTGGGGAGAGCGTGTTCCAGATCGCAGTGGTATCATACCAGTCTGCAAGGGAAGGTCCAGTCGGCGAGGGTGCCGTCCCACCGGGTTCATCTGCCATGGGTCAACTAAAGATAGGATGCCTGGGTAAATAGAAAGAATCCAAAACAATTCAAAAGGATGCTGAAAGCCCCCACGGGGCCGTATGTTGTAATCTGCGGGTCCTCACAATAAGATCACATTGAAATGCATGCCTGACAAGACAAAAGAAAGTGTCAAAAGCGCACCAAAGCTCGTGCCAAATGCCTATTTCAAAATCGATTAGATTTCCTTTTGAAATCTAATTAAAATGTTGCCAAATATTGGATTTCGAAGCTTTCCCCTAATTTTTGATTAAAAACCTTAATATAAAAAACTATGTTTTTCTATTTCAAAATCGATTAGATGTCCTGTTAAATTTTAATCAAGATATTTCCAAAAATTGGATTTCGAAGCTTTCCCCTAATATTTGATTAAAAACCTTAATATAAAATACTGTGTTTTTGCGATCTTAAAAGATGGACCCCAATAAAAACCACCCTGGTGTTGACTAGTTTTTATTATTAGGGTGTGAACGACCTTCATTTCAATTTGTTTTCAAAAGGGGATCAATTAAAAATCAAATTGGCCCGTCTGAAATTTCCCAAAATTTGACGCGGACCCTAGTTTTTAGTATTTGGGGTAGGTTTAGTAATAGGGGGAAGGGATCAGTATAATATAAATAGCTAAAAGTAAATAGATATGTACGTATGTATATATGATATTATAGTGAATACATACAGTAGTTGTATCTAATTGTAGTAGTCTATCCATCACAAATTCCAATGGCTGCACTTAAAACCGGACTGAGTTTGTGGCCAATGCCACCGAGCACAATGGCAGGCCATGGCATTCCGCCTTCGGCCCGCTGGGCCACCAGGCTTTTCCCAACGAAATATGGGAATATGGGGATGGGTCAAAACCCTATCCCCCTGGTGAACATCAAAATAGCTGGTAAATGGATGTTCATCCCTCTAAAAATGGTATGTATAGGTATTGATCCATAGCCATATAATCACTGAGTTTCTAAGGTTTCTTCGCCAAATACGGAGATGATGGGAATGTTTGGGAATGATCTGTCCTGAAAAATTCCGGGAAGGTGGCTGCAACATCTACCTCTTGACTTGATCCACCAGTAATGTGGGGCCCAAACCAGCAATGCTCACTTCCAACAAGAAAAAAGTATGTGAAAGTCCATGTAGATCCACCTGAATCCATGCAAATCCATGCAAATCCATGTAAATCCATGTCCAGTAAATCCATTTAAATCCATGTAAATCCGTTGAAATCCACAGAAACTGCACCACATTTTCAGACGCACTGGCACATCACCCACTGGCACCTCCCTGTGGCACTTCAGGGCGACTCTCTCGAGAGGAAGTAGCAGGCGACGCCCCAGCGATTGGGCCTGGTGGTGCCCAGTCTCTCAGATTTGCAAACAATCTACCCTCTGGTAAACTAACATAGCTATTGAAAATGGCCATTTATAGTGGATTTTCCCATTAAAAATGGTGATTTTCCATAGCTATGTTAAATTACCGGAGGGAAAGATCATCCATGATACTCGTCACACTTGATGAAAATGTGACGAGATTCCTAAGCATTTCTGAGCTGATACTGCAACTGTCTGAATTCCACTCCGCCTATTGTTTCCTCCGCAACAGCTATGCAGCAGCACAGCTTTTTTTCACAGTCAGTCCCAAGAATTTAAGGAGGCTGGACATCGAATTTTCGCAAGGAAAACTAGCTTGGGCACCAAATGACATTGGCGCGCAGCCGACAGTATGTGTCTGCTTACCAGACAATTTCGGGTGTAAAACTTCCCCAAGCCACAAAGCCATTGGGTAGCAGCTACGGCTCCCATACTACCCCCCGTCTTCGCGGTGGTCACCATAGCTGTCAGAATGGAGAGAAGATTGGGTAGACGTTGTCGTAGAGGATGCCGCACCTTTTCACGCAAAAGATTCAGAGGCAGTTGGTCGCTGAGTTTCCCCTCTGCCAGTCAAGACCAATTCCATAGTTTGCATCAATGCTCCATGCAGCTCTACAACAGTTCCACGACATGTAGACAACCACATCAACAAGAAAGGTACCAGTTAAAGTTTCACTGGCAGAATACACCACAAGGTTTCATAAGATTCTCAACATTCACAAACTCGTTTCCGGCAACATATTCCAACATTGGGCTTTGTCTGCAAAACTACCCCAAGATTCAATGATGAATCATCACTTTCCCATCAAAATTGCTACTTCCGGATGGTATATTATCATATGTGCCATGGTCAAACATGCTAGATGGGTATGGTCATCCCTCTATCACTAGACATCCTTGTGTAGGCACATGCTAATTCCCTATTAATGATGGTATGACCATAGAAATATCATCCCCAGAATACCCCAAGCATCTTCTCCACCTTCGATCCAGGTGACATGCCACAGACCTGAACGCTGGCAGGGCCGCCGTCGCAGCCCGTTCCCACTTGCGGCTGGTGATCTGTGCCGCAATGCTCCTCCTGAGGCTGCCCTGGAAGAATGGGGCAGATGGGTCTGCCCAAAAATGGTGAAGACCTCCCAATTGAAGGCCATCTATTCTTGGGAACTGATGATTATATAACCAGTAGACTAAGAGCTACCTGTACCCTACGTTCGAACCGAAAAAACGAATGAAACTTATAGGTTTGGGATTTTTCTTTGCATATGGGATAAAGATATTATATTATGTATATATATATAATATATATATATATTGTATAATATATATATATATATATCAATGTCACATAATGTCAATGTCACATTGTCTATCTAACTATATTGATTTATTCTATCTAGATTCCAACGCGGTCAATTTAAGGGATGGATTCCATCGGTTTTAAAAAAAAAACTAACCGATCTGACAGTCCTCGGAGTCTTGGCGCAAAAGGCGCATGGTTCCCTTCTCACCAAAGTTCTCGCCCCAGGAGTTCATGATGGTCCAGTACTTTTGCTTCAGCTCCTTGTCCTCCAAAAGGATGGCTGAGAAAATCACCGAGAAATCACTGGTGAAAACTCTGGAGATGACACAAAAAAAAAACACCGGCTGGGCAGTCGAGATCACATCTGTCACAATCCGAGAAAAAGTGCACATTTGTCAGGACACTCTCTTCTATTCTGAAAAAAAAAACACGCCGTTGCAAATGTTGACTGGATCTTCATCTCACATCATCTGAATCTGAAGTCAAAAGGATGGCAGCAACATCGGCCACCCACCTTGCCATACGCAATGAGTGTCACGGCATGATCAATCACCACATCTTTGGCGCAATCGCCATAGATGCCATTCAAGTACATTTCCCACCCTTCGGCACCTGGGGAGGAAACATGAGATACAGATAGATACAGCCATATACAGCATATACAGCATTGCTGGCACAGGGCATCGTCCTAGTTTGCGCGCACGAATCTTATCATCATTTATCATCCATAGTGCCAATTCCCACGTGAATGAGCATGTAGAAACTAAATGGGTATGGATCAATACCTATAGATACATTTTTAGTGGGATGAACATCCATTTACCAGCTATTTTGGGGTTCACTAGGTACCAGGGTTTTGACCCATCCCCAAATATGATGATCAACTGAAACCATGAGAAAGGCGTGTCCACTACTTGAAAAAAACTGAGAAGCGCACCCACAGACACTGCGACTGGACCTTTCGTCACAAGGGCTTCCATCCTTGGTGTTGAAAAACTGAAAACACCAATTGCACCTGGGTTGCACCTGGGAAGTGGCGTGGCGAAGTGGATTGCTCAACTCCAAGGATTCCAAGGATCAAGGGATGGTACCTGTTCTCTGGAAGTTTTTCCCAGCCTGATCACGATGACACAGCGAAAAACACCACAAATCCACATCGCCATTTTCTGTGCATAGTGGCATAGTGATGCTTGCAAGGTCGTTCCTCAGTGTCGGAGTCTAAGTGTCCAGCCATGCATTTTCAGAGAATGAAATCCTCTGTCATGATTGCTGGCTTTGCGGACCTCAACTGCGGTCAGATTCGAGAAAGCCTTACGGAAAATGTTTGGCTGTTTGGTATCTACATGTATCTACAAATCTTTGAAACCAACAAGCAAACCTCCCAGTGCTTGGGGCTCCAAACCCCCGAGATGCTCAAATCATCGGAATCGCCAAATTCCAGCAGGGATTTTGAGCCTTGGCTCAATTGGGCGCTCAGGGAGCAAGGAAAAACATGCCAAAACCAAAATCCTGCAGCTTTGAAATGATCTCAGGGTATCCTTAGGTGATTCCTGAACCCTTCGAATTGTTCTGGCTGAACTTTCTGTCGCATCCTTCAGGATTCGAACGACAGCAGTTAGTGGCTGATTTTTGGGGGTACTGGCAAGGCACCCTTCACATCCTTTCTTGAGCATTCCTCATCATATCCTGCAGTTGAGACCCCATGCCGATATGCCGGACTTTCCTGAGGATTGGCTCCTAGGACTCCTAGGCCCTGGAGTATTTGCATCGCCTTCTCTAAGTCTACGCCGTCTACGCTTCCAAAAAGACCCAAAAGTGCCACAACGGCCCCCCCATCCCGACTTCTCCTTGGTAGGGATGAGACTTGTCCTCAGGCACCGAAGGTGTGGCTTGTCCCATGGGTCCAGTTGGAGCCACCCTGGCAATTCATAGTATTCGTAAGTATTCGTAAATATATATATATATTTGTATAACATACACACAATTGTTTTCATAGCAAAATATACTTTGCTTATACTGAGAAACAAAAATGACATCTTGGTGAATTTGGGGTCCCCAATGAGAGGACCCATCTTGTCCCCTCAGCCAAGGATCTGAGGCTAGTCCAAATTGCATGGTGTATGCCATGGCCAGCTCTACGGTTGCACCAGAGCAACCACCCCCTCCTCCACAATGCCTGAGTGCGCATGGTGAGGCAAGGGCCCAGCTCCTCCAGGCTCCAACGCCACAATTTTCTCCCTTTAAAACGCAGCCGTGTCACTTGGGATTCGGCACACCTGGGAAGAAACAGCAGCCCACAGCCCTGGACAAAACGCCCACAGCTGACTCCAATTCAGCCCAGGTTCAATCCACGAGCTCTTGAGGAGACAAACGCTCCTGGCGCACGTCGCACATGATGCCATGATGTTGCAAAACTGCGGCAGTTTCCATCTGGATCTCTTGATCAATCAACATAAATTGTCGTTCATCAAGTTTTCATTCTCCATTCATCACAATCTACCCTTTACAAATCGGATTTTGATCAATAGTTTTGAAACTGCTACTAAATCTCTTATGAAATGGGGACACCTCTCAACAAGCCCCGGAACAAGCCCCGCTGTCCGTGGCGTTCTGGTGGATCTCCCGGTGCGAATTCAAAACCGTGGCCGAGGTGACCTCAGCAAAGTCAGCACGGCGGAGCATTCCATCAGATTCTAAGGTTGTTTTTTGTATTCCATATGAATCATATTACATCTACTCCAGAATGACTATATTTGTATGATACATGTATATATATATACACACACATGTGTGTATGTAGTATATATATATATATATATTTGATTTCCATATGGATTTGCATACATGTTTCAAGAAAGATATGAAACAATTAAACCAAATTTTGATATCTGAGTCTGTGGCAGCCCAACAAGAACCACAAGCACCCTGGTTGGCGATAGCCTCGTGCTCTGCCACAGTCACTCTGAATTTTCGGGCAAGTGGTGCAGATCAGCCGAGCCTTGACAGATTGAAGGTCCTTCCACCTCGAGAAATCTTCCGGCAGCTCCGTCTGGAGCAAACTCACCTTGCTCCTGGGATGAAATTGAGCAGTGAAAAGACTCTCGTGGGATGATTGGCTTCTGAAAACCGAACAGATTTTTCGTAACGCGAATATTTATCTGTAGCCCAACAACCCAATAATCGCCCAATGGCTAGTACCACAACCTAACATATATTGGATGAGTATTGGGTGAGTTGCCAAATAACAATCACTTTTGGAGATCATGTTCACATTGCTTGTCTCCGCGAAGCAAACTCGGAGCCTTCTGAGGTTCTTCTTCGCATTGGGACCTGAGTCGAAGGTCGTTTGCGCTTGACAGTGAGGGCGGTATATGTGAAAGTGCATGATTCTGCCGACGTTGCAAATGTTGCGCATGTTTGGTATGATCATCATCTCCGTCTGATTTTTAGGGATTCAAAGTTGACCCATACCCAAAGAATATGACCCAAATGACAGCCTCAAATCCACCAGAGTGGCCGCCAAGCAACTGGCCATACCTTTCCAGCCCTTCAGTGACTTCAACTCCTTGCCGATTTACGACACAACGAGTGGAAAGCCTCAAGGCATGCCAGCTTGTCTTGCCTCAATCTCAACGAATCTTCACATCTACATAGAATCTACATATGCTTTTCCCATTATAAACCATCCAACTATTGGGACCCCCATGGAAACCACTCCTCTTCAGTATAGTCTGCAAATGGTGAAGTTCCTGCGGTCCAAGCACGGCCTGAACAGCGGCCAGCACACGTTATCCGATCGTAGGAGCAACGATCTACGACGACAGCCGCGACAGCCGTGTCTGGGCCTGGCTGAGAATTCAGAAGCTCAGCCTTCTTGAGGCGCTCAGAGAAGATGTCCATTCTCTTCTGGTACTCTGTGCTGCCCTTCCTTTGGTCATGTGGGTCATTCAGTCATGAAAAACACCCGAACGTTCAACGGAATGTTCGGGGTTGAGCTTTGAGCCTTGAGCATTGGAGCACTCCTTGCTACCGCTACATCAACTGATAGCAAACTGATACAAAGTGTGACAACAATAAAGTGGCACCATTTGATTCAGAAATGTCCGCTTAGTTTGCACACTCTACATGAAGGCAAGATACAAGTAGAGTATAATTGTAAAGCAACAAGACTCGCTGTACATAGCCGTACTGCTAGAAAAATGCTGAACCAAGGGTCACGTAGCTCCTCCTGTACCTGGTAGGAAACATCTGATGCACGCTGCAGCATCCAGGTAAAGTTTCAAGAAAGTACAGCTGATTCCACAAACCGTGGCTTCATTACCAGTGGTATCATTGCTAAATGTTGATAGATATTAATCATACATAGTGATAAACTCAAGGTCAAAGCACAAGTTTTCTATAACTTCGGCCGAGATGCTTGGAAACGAAGACATCAAAGAGGTGAGTGTAATCAGATTCCACAGGATGGACAATGAGACCCGCAACGAATGGAAGCAGCAGAGCAAATGGGAGGAGCTGCATTTGGATAGTTTGGTTCACCTCAGCCAAGCTCATCAGCTCACTATCAGCTCAAGTTTCAAGTTGGACACCAAAAATAGTAATTACAGTACCCCAGCTATCTAAAGGCACCAGCTTGAAGGGCCTAGTCGGACTAGTTATGACTACTTGCAGTGCGAACTTCGCAAGGATCATTGGGGTGGAATGATGAGCAATGGTACATCGATGTACATCGTTTCACTGCTTGCATCCCAAGGGGCGACCGGATGAGTATAGATAGATGTAAACGTGTTGCGTAAATGGCTGCGAAAGGATAGATGTCACAGAATCAGCTTGCAGACTGGTTCAACATCCGGTGACCAGTCTAAAGCAGAAACTTTTGTGGGTCAGAATTGGGCTCCCAAAAAAACGGTTTATCCCAAAAAAGAAACCAAGACCAAAACCTGTAGATCCTGCATCCACAGGATGATATACCGCCGCGCCTGCTGCAGCCTTGGGACCACAAAATTCTACGAAACACTTGGAGATGGGGAATGTGTTGGTTCTGAAAATGGGTGAAACACAATTTTGGATTGTTGGGTCCACAATTTTGGCCCATCAAATCCAGCTGATCTCAAGTTGAGTCTCAATACGTTTTCTCAGGCACAAGAAGCTGAGATTTCAACCTGTGTGGGAGGCATCTGGAGCATGCACTATGGCATGCACGGCGAAAACTGGAGCCAAATGGCAGCAGCCAAGGGACCATTTACGAGTGAAGAAAGGATCAATTGCTGGTTGTTAAGTTTTGTATATAATGGTAGCATGGTCCCTGGGCAGGGAGCTCCTTGGCAGTGCCACGACAAAACTCCAGAAACATGCGCAATGTCCTGTCCCTCGGCACAATGTTGGCCATGCGCAGTTGCCGCCGGTTGTAGGAAGTTGCAGCCCTGTTTGTATACAAATAATGCATCTGTAATGGATCATGATAATCCCCAAGATATTGGGTAGTGTAACCCCCGAAAATAACCTGCTCACACCATAGAATAGTGGTTTGCAGCCCATCATTTTGTTCAGCTCCTTTTGAAGCCTGTCAGAACACGAACACCTGGAGCACCAGTAGTTGGAAAAACATCGGATGCTCCAGCTGCCTTAACGTGATCCTAACTGGTGTATCAGGATACCATAGGTTTCACAAATGTCATCAACACCATAGAAATTCTGTTTTCAAAAAACTTGGGCTCTATGGGATATACATAACCATCAAAACAACGTTAGCCACACAAATCACCAAGAAATTTCGGGACGAATAACTCTGTGGACCACTTGAACCACCGATCCGGGTGAGACACTGCTTCGAAGGTGCGCACAGCGTACGGAACGCGCGCCGGCGCAGCAAGACATCGAAGCTATGCGGGCCATGGCGCTATGCGGGCCATGTGGAGCGGCATGGAGCCTGCGGTGCACTAGAAGAAGATTCTAACTATATGTGTTCCATAGATATAGAATATATATATATATACATATAGATGTATAGATACATCAATCTATGCATTCCATGTGCATGCGTGTACATATATACATATACGTTATATATATGCATATATGTATGTGTATATATAGAGATACAGTATGGAATCTGGGAAGGACATCTGTATAATACATACGAATATGTATATGTATATATTTAAGACGCCTAGAGGCATGCATTCATTGGAAAATCGAAAATAATGAATATTTTAAAAAAGAACGGGAACAAATTGCCCCAGGGCGCTCTGTATGTGTTTATTTGTGTTTCTTGTTTGTTATTTCTTTGTTTTTTCCCTCGGGAGACTCCGGAATCCCAAATCTGCATTTTTCCGTTTCAAAAAAATAAAAATAAACCAAAAAAAGAAACAAACGGATGCAAATTGCTCCCAGCAATGCATCCGTCCATTTGTCGGCCCTGTCTCTGCCAAACTGCACTCATTGGAAAATTAAAACACAAATATACAAAGCACTCTGTCGCAATTTGCTTCTGTTTGTTTCTGTTTTGTTTCTTTTCTGTGTATCTTATGTTTTCTCTTTTTCTGGGGAAAACTGCAGATTTGGGATTCCGAAGTCTCCCGAGCAAAAAAAACAAAACAAAAAAGAAAAATGATCAAAAACGAAACAAATACAAAGCACTCTGGAGCAATTTGTTTCTTGTGTGTTCTTTTTTTGTTTTTCCCCCTTTTAAATTTGTTCTGGTTTCCGGTAAAATGAAGCATTCTGCATCTTAAATATATATATAAGTATGGAGTCCATTAACATTCTTTTTCCACAGCTGATCATGTCAGGGCAGAGCTCCAGGATGGTGCACCATCCTGCCTTTAGTCAGAGCCCATGATGGCACCATGTAGAGCAAAGCACAGGAAGAGCACCTCACAGCACTTGGGACTTCCATCATCCAATAGTTATGACAGTTATGGATATATTCTAGACCAATTTCTTAGTGTATGGTTTCTGAGGGTTATACTACCTGACTATAATAACCTCCAATTAACCATGCAGTACAGTTGCGTATAATCGCCAATCAGCAGGGGTATTCCGAATGGCTCGTTTGGTTGGCCATCAAGTCCTTAAAACGGCTTTGTCTGAAAATAGGGTACCGCTACAGTTGATGGTTGATTATCCTGTTCAACATTGTTCAACAGGAAAATGTTGTTCATGATGGTTGGTTGTATTTGTTCAATGTTCCGCATTAAAAGGATAACATGTATGGGTGCCCCCTGGTAATTTAAGATAGCTATGGAAAATCATCATGTTTAAAAAGCTATTATCATCATTTAAATAGCTATAAAGGCCCATTTTCCATAGCTATGTTCGTCAGAATCAGAGGGTATGCCCACGTTTAGAAGCACCCACATGCCACAGGTCCGGCAACGCGGATGATCAGCGATTCCCAGCAGTGGAACATGGGATATAATGGATACGTGATGGGCACAATGATCATCAACTATCCCAGGTTTATCCCGTTCATATATCATAGATCATAGATCATACATGGTATGATATATATATATACATAATTATACATATATATATATATACATAATTATACATATATATATAATATATATATATATACATTATATGTATATATACATGATATAAGATATTCTCTATCCCATTGAAAAAAACCTTTCCCAGCGCCAGGTCAATTTCCCTCGTGGCCGTACTTAGTCTCCTGGGCGCCCTGGGCATCCGTACTCCACCAGCGGTGACCACCATGCGCTCCGAGATGTGTTCCGCCAGCACTCGGCCACCCATGACCTCTGGAAATGGGCCCTGGCTGGGCCACAACAAAATGGATGGTTTATAAATGTTAAAAAATGGGAAATCCATGGAAAATCCCATCTAATCATCTATAAATGGATGATTTGGAGGTAGCTCCACTTAGGAAACCTGCATCGATAATGTGGGGTAGCTCTTTTAAGACAAACCCATTGTATTTCCTTTGTTGGGACCAAGGAAAAACGGTGGATGTACCGGTGATGTACCTTGAATGCGCATGTCACTGCGATGTGGTAGATCTACACTTGGAAACTGAGAACGTCACTGCCAATGTTGTGCAGCAAGAATGGCCAATGATGCCACCCAGCGTCACGCCCAAAGGGTCCTGCGCCCCACATCGGCTGAAACTTAAGAGACATGAAGAATTGAAAGAACGCATACAGATACATACAGTAGATTTAAGAATACTTTGTCAGTCAGTGTCACTATAGATTTTCTGACATCATGTTGATTGATGTTGATTGATAGTTATGTGGCTGTGTGTTATCAAATCAATGTTATCATATGTCTCTGTCTGTGTCTCTCATCTTGCAGCGCAGCTGACGAGATCTCATCCAGTGCCACCTCTCTTTACGTGGTCTGTGGGTCAAAACCGAGATAGCCTGGTGAACCTCAAAGTAGCAAATCGATGTTGATCACCCACATCCCCTCCTTGGCAGCTGCTAAGGCAATGGTGGAGATTTGCGATCGATCGCCCCATTCAGCCAAGAAGGTAAGCGTCAAGGCCTGTTGGCGACGCAGATGGAACTCAACGATCCTGGCAATGCGCCTACTGGTGATCTGGTAGTCATTGCCTTGGTGGCTCTATGCCTTGGTGGCTCTATGCCTTGGTGGCTCTAGGCCCTTTAGGCATAGAACCACCAACGGCCCCTGTGCCCAGTCCTGCGCAGCCACTGACCAGAATTTCTTCTGCTTGGAGCTCTCCTCCTGCCACTGGATGCAAACGCAAACAATACCTGAGACATGGAAGCCTGGGTCAAACCTAGGATCATGTCATTCACGAAATCATCCGCGCCAAACCAAAAGAATGATGACAGCCCTTTCCCCTAATTCATGAAGAGCTAAGGAAGAGAACGGCCCCCCCATAGTTCGCAACAGCATCACAACCTTCCACGCAAGCGGCTTCCGCAACGAATCCTTGAGGCTCTGTTCTACCTCTTCCAGCTCCTCGCTAGGCCTCAGCAATTTCACCAATCAGCTGTGAAGAGAATATCTGATTCAATCATTTACAAAGCAATATGTATACATATCGTTCTATGTAGATAGCATGCAAATGATATAAATGTTGCTCTCTTTTCTCTGTCAAGCTCACGGAATCTCTTACCTCTTTCTGCTGTGCAAGCCGCAAGCCGTTGCTTTACAGCCAGCAGCAAGCCCGCAGGCACAGCTGTGTCCATGCCATGACGCACAGGTGAGACAAATCTGCTGGGAAGACAAAGGGCCAAGCTTCACCCTTCGCAAATCCCACAGTCACAAGCAAACATTAGTGTCATTAGAGTTGTCAAGGTGAGAACCCTGAAACCAGTTCTGAAAAACGTGGGCAGTCGGCCAAAAACTGGCAAAACGGTTTTGAGATGTTTTGAGCAGTAGATGCTCCTCCAGAGATGGCTATGCTAGCTGTGCCACTTGGTCACTCAGCTCAACCCATCATTGTCCAGAGGTTCAAGTCGATGTTGGGCCTGGCCCGTGGTTTCTTGGGATGGGCACCATCAGTGCTGACATTCCTGGGGCTGACATATTTTTTCGCGCACATCAATTTATCAAAATGGATTGTGATGCCTTCATCATCATCATCATCATCATCATCGTCATCGTCATCGTCATCGTCATCGTCATCGTCATCGTCATCATCCCAATGGAATCCCATCAAAATCCTAAATGTTCAAATCCCATTACAATCCTATGAAAATACCATGGAAAATCCCCATGGCCGCACCGAGCGAGTGCGCCGCGAGCCGCTGCCACCGCCAGGGGGTGGGGGACCTGACGAACCAAGGATCTGTGATGGGCTGTGTACGATATCCTAATGAGAGATCATGAAGATTTGTGGGAATGTAATGTAACAAAGAGCAAATCGACATGGGAGAGCATTGATCACATTCAATTGGCGAGTCATCAGTAATTGGGAGGAAGATCCCGTTGGTAAATGGTAAAACATCATATGTCTGGATGATGTACCGAGTGAGAACGCCAGCTAGTCCAGCTGGTGAAAATCAAAACCGGACATTGGACAAAAAATCCACCGGATGGGATTGAGAAAACAACTAAACAATCTAAACAGCATTAAACAGCTATAATTTCATCTACCAATTCTACCATGAAGTCTAGAAATGGTATTTCTGCAGTGGCACCACATCCCATCTGAAGTTCAGCCTGTGCGGGTCACATGGGCATGGCTCCGGCTGAAGCCAGGCTCATCCACCTGACGAGGCCTCGGCAAGCCCACAGGACTTGGTCACTAAAATGTCAAGGCTTCAATGATGTTTAATCCATAACCATGAAATACCATTTTTTATACTATGAATTCATGTATCATTTTTGATTATGTAAAACAGTTATATACAGTTATATAAATATCGCTATGTATAATTGTATATAATTCTATAATATATAGTTTATCCAATTACATCCCCATGAACTTCTTGGTAAACCTGGGATCCCTTGCGGCGGTGGGACCGGTGCAAGGCGCCGTGGTGTCTCTCCCGGCACACGGGCTGGTCCTCGGCCGGGAGCCCTTCCCTGCACAGCAAAATGGCTGGTAAACAGCCGCTAAATGGGAATTCCTCCCAAAAAATGGCGAAAAATAGGTTTGAGCCACCATTTTCTGGCAATGATGGGAAATGATGACGATTTCTGGTGGCAATGAAAAATCATGTGATTCTTTTGCCACTTGCAATGTCCTTCAGAGGCCACTCTGGCGCTGACAATGCCTGAAACCAGCCGCTGTCATCCAAGGCATCCGTTGAAAAGTGAAGTCAATCGAAACTTCAAACCGCTGTTTCAATAGTCTATTTCCATTGTCATTGGCAACAGGATGTTTGATATGGCGTATTCCACACCTCATCGAAATGCCAGGGATATGCCTTATCACACCACTGGACATTTTGACATTTCGGCCTCCACTCGGGGCACTTCGAGCCACCAGCACCTGCCAGCAGTGTCTTATTTCTAGCTACTCCCCACATGCTGAGCCCCTGAGCCCCTGCCTGGCCACCCAGGACCACATCTCGTTCAGCTTCCAAGACGCGTGCCTCACAGCTGCAGCCGCTTACAACCAATGTGGCTATTTCACGCCAGCTGTATGACACAGTCAGCACAGTTTCAGCACAGTTTCAGCACAGTTCAGCAGCTCTATGTCGCCATCATGTTTTTGCTGGCCTGCATCTGCGACAGCTTTCGCGCAAAGTCGACCGAAGCTTCCCGTAGTTTCTCCTCAGGAAATCTCACAAGACAAGAAACTATCCCACATTTCGGTGGAACACCTGCACAGCTCACAAAAAAATCATGGAAAAATATGGAAAATTGAGAGATTCTACATCTTTGAAAAACTGTTTGTTCAATGTTCAAAGCTGGTTTTTGACGCTCAAAATGTCCCCAACATCTTCCGATTCTCCTCCGCGGCTTCCCGGACCCTGCGTTCCGATTCCAACTCGAGGCGAAGTAACTCCAGCTCCTAGGGATGATTCGGACGTGACCCTCCGGTCGAACATGGAGGTTTTACTGGAGGTTTATCATGGGATTTTTTTCGGAAAATATAGGAAAACCCACTATAAATATAGGAAAAATAGGAAATGTATAGCTGGTGAAATCATCGAACTAAATGGTGAACTTTCAAAAAAACACGTTTAGTTCGTACAGGAGGGTGTTTTAAATATATAATATAACCCATCATTGAAGCCAACGAAGATAAATAAATATCTCCACTAAAGTGAAATTATGATGGCCCCATGTCTTAAAATATTCATTCAAAAAGGGGAAACCGAACCCATCATTTAGCCATATTTAAGTATATTTTAAGTATTTTCACCCCAAAATCATGTTTGTTTTCATCCACTTAAAAAGGAACACATTGAACAAAGGCTTTTGAACCACTGGATTTTGTTGTATATTGAGACAAACCCGATAGTTGCCGAAAGAGATTGAATTGCTGAAATGTTGACGACCCCATTCCCAAGGATGTGTGCCTATCGAGGGTCTCCCTACTGTATCAGTCAGGTGCCGGCAAAAAAAACAATTGATCATTCTGGGAAACATCCCCCGCTCTGTTTCTTTGGTTGCTGACTTTTCAAACCCAACATCATCTACCTTAGTAACCGAGATCATCAATCATGCCAAGCAGGAATGGAAATCGACGGAAATCGTTCAAAACACCAAGCATTTGTTGCCGAGTGATATCCCAACCCCTGTTGTTGTTGGGTATCATCCTCAAGTTGAGTCAGACAATGGTTACTGGGTACCATCATATATCCTCATCATATTGGCGTCAGTTCTACCCTTAGTTATATGGTTGTGGGTCAAAACCCTGATTCCCTTCTGTTCGTATCAAAATTAAAATAGAATAGCTGCCATTGTTTTGTTCATCATTCTCATCCACTAAATCTATTCGGAAGAGCAAGGGTGCTAACCAAAATCCAACAGTTATGGATGTTCATCCCTCAAAAATCATACGTTGAAAATCAGAGGTTTTAACCCATCATCATCATCATCATCATCATCCTCCTCCTCATCATCATCATCAGCATCATCAACAACATGACCATCATCATCATCACCACCACCATCATCATTATCATCATCATCATCATCATCATCATCATCAGCATCATCAACAACATGACCATCATCATCACCACCAGCACCATCACCATCACCATCACCATCACCATCATCATCATCATCATCGTCGCCATCATCATCGTCATCATCATCGTCATCATCATCGTCATCGTCATCATCATCATCATCATCATCGTCATCGTCATCATCATCATCATCATCATCATCATCATCATATCCCTTCAGCTGACATCAAAATAGCTGGTATAGCTTCCTACTCATCTCCCCCATTCACATATGCCAAAAATCAGATATTCAGACCCATCATCTTACATAATCTTTACTTCAATATCGCTGAGAAGAAAAAAAAACTGGATGTTCATCGTTGCTGTCCTGCTATCCCATCCCCATCCCCATCCGATGCCTCCCCCGTCGCGCAGGGCTCCTCCTGCGCTCTCTGCAGTTGGCTCCTCTGCGCCTCGACCACCTGCAAGGTGGCCGCCAACGTGGCCCTTGGTCGGTTGCTGCCGTTGCCGAGTTGCCGAGGGGCCTGTTGGGGATGGGGATATGGACCTGAAAATTTTACTGCCAGTCACTTTTAGTGCAATTCTTTATTCAAGTTTGAATCATTTTCAGTGTGACCAGCATTTGATCAAAAACTATTGCTCAAGAATCTAAAGATTGCGTTTGTTTTTTGTCGAATGCACATTTTTATGCACCCTCCAGGGGTACTTTCATACTCATTGTGAGCCACTCAGCATATCTCAGCATATCTCAGGTCAAAGGTCTGCATCCTGAGGACATGGCTCCAACTGAGCGGGCTCCTGCATGCCTGGTCAATGCCTGCAGCAAACATCATGCCATAGACACAACATGAGGCAAGGCAAGCTATGTGACGGTATGTGACTAGTTCAATATTGTTCAATGAGGCTTCATAAATTTCATATGACTGAATATGACTGAGACTCTGCCTTTGAGCATACTCTGCAGGCAGCACCGGATGGCTACATGAGGAAAGGTGTCATTCAGCCAAGTGCCATGTGTCTTACATGTCCGTCTTGTTTGCAATGTAGGGGTCATGAAAGTAGAGTTCAATCCAACTCGCAACCATCTGATTTAAGTCATCCATTGCGAGTTCCTTCATTCCTAAGCTGGGAAAGGGTGAAAGTTCTAGATTCTAGTCGCCAAAGTTGGAGTTGGAGCCATTTTGAAGCTACAGCATCTGGGAATATTCAGACCTCATCGTTTCAGTGAGCATGGCCATAGTGCTGTCACAGGACCTGTATCAAACGTTCAATGCTACTTCCTACGTCAGAGCTTTGAGCCAAAGGCGGCTGGTGCAAGGCAGACTTGCCAGGCATTCTATGCTCCAAAGCAACCCATCTGGTCCTAAGGACTAAGACATAGCTCCCCAACAACTCTTCAACCGAGTCTGCGACCCAGAGCCACTGCCACTTCGCAGCATTTGCAGAGCCTCAAAGTCATGACATGTCCCAGGATTGCACAGGAAGATAAGGTGGCATCAGTCCTTAAATATCTTAAATGCCATGGATGTCATGGTACTGAAGGCTCTGGCAGCCTTGTTACCACAGCTTCGCAGATTGTTTCACCGGCGCCTCCAGGAGCAGCTTCGCGCCAAAATAGACAAAGAGGCCAACAGCTGCCCAGTGGGTGTACCTTCCAGACAGGCAGCACGGCAGCACCACTTCCATCAGCACAGGGAGATCGGCGAAGCGGGGCACTTTCGAGGCATCACCTTGGGCAAGACCAAGCCGATGGTCGCGCTCAAGGCCTGCACGATCTGAGTGGGGATGGCTCACATCTTGGCCAAAATTATATGGGTTAATCATTGTTTAATCATGGCTTAATCATCAGTTTCCTATGTCTTCCCCAATTACAAATTACCACTTTGCGATCATTTTGGGTATCCCAAAAATTTGAGACTCCAAATGGCCGCTGTCTGGCACGTCCGAGAGCCAAGGGACAGTCATTGCCGCCAGCGCTCCTGCCGCTCCAAAGAAGACCGATAAGCGATCCTCAGGAACCATGTGTCGATCCTTAAATATCACGAAAAATGTGGCGATAAGGTGAAGTCCCCCTGCTTGGAGGTTTAAAAATCAGTTGCTTCTCCTGACCATCCCGGAGGTTTAGGCTTTGGTGTTCACATCAGCGTGTAAAGTCAGATTTGATGAAGTGTACACCAAACACAACCGTTCTGAGGAAGTGACATGTCTCATTGCCAGCAAGGCAGCAATGAAGAAAGTCTTGTCACCTGAGATGTCAGGCATAAATCCTGAATGGACTTTGGGCTTCGTCAAGTCTCCCGGTGAAGAGTTCTATAAATATACCTACTAGATCCTGTTAGTAGAGGATTGACAGACCTTCACCAACCGATTGAAAAGGCAAGAACCAGCCCAAGCACCTGTAGTCAAGTCCCTTTTTCATCTTTTTCTAGCAATGGATTGTGCTTCAGTGAAACATTGTGTTCAGTTCTTGTCTGCGCAAACCACGCGGACTTGGCGTGGTTTGGATCCCTCAACCATCTCGAAGAGCTATGTCCTCCACCAGATCCGCCAAGTGAGGTCCTCCACCGCACCGATACAGAGTCGTTCACCACAGTTTTTCGGGATCTCTGTGGCACGGTGGAGTTCCAGCACCAAAGGAGGATGCCAAGTTGGTCAACTTTGCTCACGAACCCAGTGCTGCAGTTTGATCATTTTGATCCACTCATCTCATGTTGTTCTTGTTCTTGGAATGCCAGGTGTTTGCGTTCTCAAAACCGTTTCTGCCACACTGGTAGTCCAGCATAGACTGGCGGATCTGCCTTAGAAGATGGGCAACCAACCGAGTCAATGTGTCGAGCTGTGATTCAATTTGCAACACAGGAGCCACTGGGGCCAAGACTCTTCGCTGCACATCACGAAGGGGCCTTGCCAAACCACCGGCTCTCGAAGCGGCTTGGCCGCAAAGATGAAAAAGGATACTGCAGTCGTAGTAGTCTCAACGAGGAGGCCTTGATCATTGTGCGCTACCATGCACCGACCCCATTTTTGTCATCCATTTTTGGGCACTCACCATGTTTCATGTTCCATTTGTCCTAATCGTCCAGACAACTGACAATCTGATTCCACAAATCACCTGAAATGTCCTGAAGTGCAGGTGAGGGTCCATCCTCACCCACTTCATGGGATAGGATCAAACAATGGTGTTTGTCAGCTTCTTCCCCAGCAAAGTTTCCTTCTCCATCTATGATGTAGACGAAAGCATTGTGTCCCTCAGGTATCAGCCTAGGATGGACCAACGTCAGGTCCGGACATGTGGCTGTCTTCCGAACTGTGACCGACATCAAATCCACAAAATGCAAGCGGCTGGTGCAGTCGGGAGTTGGGCTCCATGGTGAAATGTGCCCTGAGCAACGCGGGGTCAGCTGCACCGCTATTCCGCTTGAGAATGCATCCACTTCAAACCCTATTCAAACCCAACCTCCTGCCAACTGAAAAAACCGTTCATGTATCTTGATATCTCTGAATAATCCAGGTCACTTATCAGCTGTGCATGTTCTATTTCAGCTCTCCCACTTTTTCATTTCCATGTCGAACAACATGTGTGGCGGCCATTAAGCAGCATGGCAGGCCATTTAACTGCAACTACTTCACTTTTGAGGCTAGGAGTTTACCACACCACAAGGATAGGAAAGACATGATCAGGCAGGTAATGTGGGTAAAACAATAATAAACCATCCCCCAAATCACCATAAATAGGTGGTATAAACCATTTCCAAATGGGTGGTTTATGATTGTTTTATCCACATTATATCAAACACCTAGGAAATCTCAGGCCGGAGATCTCCGAAACATCTGGGTCCAAGCTTCGCAAGTGTGTCACCCTCCAGTGCTGCTGCGCTCAAGGCTTCACCCGCCAGCAGCGCGCAGCGCACACCGTCACAAATGAGACGCGGTTGTTCTGCTCGTGGAAGTTCCAAATATCTGAGAGCCATCGGGACAGGTAAAAAGGGTCCCAGGTCCCAGGTCCATCCTTCCGGACAAGTCCCACTGGTCCCACCCTTATGCTTTGTGTGACAAGGCCTTCACTAATGTTCAAGAAAGAAAGAGCTGGGCCAGCTGGGCCTGAATTTCCGTTACCCTGCAGCAGTCCCAGCTGTGCGCCTCGGTGGACTCATCTTCTCCTGGCTTTCCAAGGGACTGGGGGATGTTACACCGCCTCATCTAAGTTCTCTTGTCAGTTCCCGTATGTTCCTGTTGAAACGTTCGATCCATGTCTTGAAAATCAAGATGTCTTTGGAAACATTATTTTGAAGCGCAGTAAGATGCACCTTTGCAACTTAATCTCCCATGATATCGGTTGCAGTCTCCTTCTCCGGCAGGTTGATCCACAACTGCAGGCCCCTGGCAAAGAACTGCGTCTTTGGAACCTGACCAGGTAAGGTGCACCACCACCACCACCACCACCACCAGCATCATCATCATCATCATCATCATCATCTGCAGCCATGGCAGACCCAGAACATGTGGTGACTCTGAAATCTATTGGGAAAAGATGAAATATGATAAAATAGAGGACCAAGTGGCTTCAGAATGCACAATGCCACGACCGCATGTCATCCACTGCGCGTCGCCGGGGCCCAGAGTGCCAACATTGCCTGCATTTGGTCGTTGAAATCACACAACACTCGAACGGGCGTCGTTGTAAAATGCGTTCTTACAACTCGCTGTAATCTGGTTCCTGTCCAAGTCTCTACAAACTACTAACTCTATCTATAGCTCTACTATTTTTATGTATTGTTTTTTGCATATTTCAGTCGTGTTTTTCGAGACTTCCAATCTTCGCCACTTGCTGCGCCTAGAAAATCCTCATGGCTGAGATCTCCTGGAGAGCTGGGCAGCAGATAGGTCAACGTCACGAAGCCCCGGTGCGCGTGGTCCGGAAATCCATCGGGGAGCGCCACGGTGAAGTCCTTAGAGCCCGAGCTGTGAATGGAACAGTGAAATCCTCAAAATCCACAGCATTTTCTGTACAAAACGGCCATTTCCGAGCAATTTTTGGATTGAAAAATTGGGTCACTGAGCAAAATCGGATGCTTTCACCGATTTTGAAATTGATTGAAATGGGATATCAAACCAACAAATGATGGCAGAACTGGGATAATTAAAGATGGCCAACGACAGGCCATACATCAAGCGGTTAAGGTTCCCACATCAAGCGCTAGCACAGGGTCCACATCAGCAGCCTCCTGGGCTTTCATTGTGCTGATTTCAACTGCATTATGTTTACGAGAATGTCCATTATTTTTTGATTGGGATTTCCCAAAACCCCATTTTTGAATAATCCCCTCATCCTATTACTAAACCCCCCAAATACTAAAAACTAGGGTCCGCGTTGAATTTTGGGAAACTTCGGACTTGCCAATTTGATGTTTAATTGATTCCCTTTAAAAAACAACTTTAAAATGAAGGGCCCATTTGTGGGTTTCACCCCCTAATAATAAAAGCTAGTCAACCCCGGGGCCCCGGGGTGTTTTTTATTAGGGTCCGTCTTTTAAGATCCGGAAAAAAAAAAAAAACCGGTGTTTAATTTGATATTGGGGGAAAGCTTCGAAATCATTTTTTTGGCAATATTTAATTAGGTTTTAAAAGGAAATCCAATCGATTTTGAAATAGTGTTTTTTTGTTTTTGTATTAAGGCTTGTAATTTAAATACATCTAAATACCCCCTAATACAAAAAACTACTGCACGTGTTGATGATTCGGGGGACGGCGTTTAGTATTAGGAAGGGATTATGTTTGGGGATTTCTCAGCTGCAAACCTCCATTCAGTGCAGGGATTTGCCAGCCATGTTTGAGCCATATAGATCCATATAGGGGGTACCTGGAAGCTCAACACCCCAGAAATCTCCATCGAAGTCTCCTGTCCATCTGGGCGAATGGGCCTTCGTACATCTGTGCCGCCGCCACCGGATTGCTCGCGAGCATACGACTTTTGCAAGACACGCCTCTGCGAAGGATTATTTCTATGCCATCCATTGCCATCCCCAGGCGGCACATGAATCGAATCATGGCATGACCCCAAATCCGCCATGGTCAAACATGAACATTGCCATCGAATCATGGCTTTCCAGCAAAAAAAGGTGACGCATTTTCAAGACGCGCCGGCCTAGGCTTGGCTGGAGCTGCAGGCATCGTTCCCGGTGTCCAAACATCTACAAGTTCTGCAGGCTCCTGAACGGCCAAGGTTACGTCAGTTACATGGACAAAAATGGCCCAGTGTCCTTCAATTCATGGCCATGATATAGGTAGGAACTTTGGAAAATGAGGCTTTAAAATGGTTGTAACCATTGTTTGGGAAATCTCTTTCAACACAAACCTACAACGACTTCGTAGACATTTGTGGACCCTTTGAAAGCACCCTAACATGAAATATTTGTACAATTATGCATATATATATATACATATATTTATATATGTACGTATATATACCATATACTCCATGCGTGTAGGCCATCTACACGAACCATAGGCCATCATAACTGTTGACATGGCACCAGGTCCCCTCTGTCTCCTCTGTCTCCTTGGGTCGCAAGCGGCTGAGTTTGGGCAGGCACCACCTCACCAGGCGTGGGAGATCCGAGTCCGCCATCCAACTTTGTTAATGGGAGATATGGGGACCCAGCGAATGGCCAACTTCCAGCAGAAATGATGATATAAACTATCTATATATATATATATATATATCCGCCGACCCCGGCCTTCGCCAAGGCCGGGGCGGCGCCTGGGACCACCGCAGGTGTGGACCTTGTCCTCTTCCAAACCCTCCAAACCTTTACCCTTAAGCAGCTTCCCCAACAGGCACCCCAGGGCCAGGGCCACAGCAATGACTTTCTATGAGCTTTCAAAGCTGCCATTTGCCAGCCCGCAAAGGCTCCAAACGCCTCCAAAATTCCAAACCCCAGGGCCAGGGCCACAGCAATGAGACTTTTTATGAATTTCAAAGCTGCCGTTTGCTAGCCCGCAAAGGCTCCAAACTTTCCAAAACAAAATTCCAAACCCGCCAAACCCTCCAAACACCGTCCCCAGCAGGCACCTCAGCTCCACAGCAATGACTTTCTTGATGCTTTCAAAGCTGCCTTAACAGAGGCCAGGGCCACAGCAATGACTTTCTATGGGCCTCAAAGCTGCAGTTTGCCAGCCTGCAAAGGATCCAAACTTCCAAAATTCCAAACACCTTCCCCAACATGCACCCTAGGGCCAAGGCCACTTCCCCAACAGGCACCCCAGGGCCAGGCCACAGCAATGGCTTTCTTAGGCTTTCAAAGCTGCCGTTTGCCAGCCCGCAAACCCTCCAAAACTCTCCCAAACTCTCCAAACGCTCCAAACCCTCCAAAACCCGCCAAACCCTTCAAACACCGTCCCCAGCAGGCACCTCAGATCCACAGCAATGACTTTCTATGAGCTTTCAAAGCTGCCGTTTGCCAGCCTGCAAAGGATCCAAACTTCCAAAATTCCAAACACCTTCCCCAACATGCACCCTAGGGCCAAGGCAACTTCCCCAACAGGCACCCCAGGGCCAGGCCACAGCAACCCCAGGGCCAGGCCACAGCAATGGCTTTCTATGGGCTTTCAAAGCTGGCTTTCTTAGGCTTTCAAAGCTGCCGTTTGCCAGCCCGCAAACCCTCCAAAACTCTCCAAAACCCTCCAAACCCTCCAAACGCTCCAAACCCTCCTAAACCCGCCAAACCCTCCAAACACCGTCCCCAGCAGGCACCTCAGATCCACAGCAATGACTTTCTATGGGCCTCAAAGCTGCCGTTTGCCAGCCTGCAAAGGATCCAAACTTCCAAAATTCCAAACACCTTCCCCAACATGCACCCTAGGGCCAAGGCAACTTCCCCAAGAGGCACCCCAGGGCCAGGCCACAGCAATGGCTTTCTTAGGCTTTCAAAGCTGCCGTTTGCCAGCCCGCAAACCCTCCAAAACTCTCCAAAACTCTCCAAACCCTCCAAACCCTCCAAACGCTCCAAACCCTCCTAACCCTCCTAAACCCGCCAAACCCTCCAAACACCGTCCCCAGCAGGCACCTCAGATCCACAGCAATGACTTTCTTGATGCTTTCAAAGCTGCCTTAACAGGGGGCCAGGGACACAGCAATGACTTTCTATGGGCCTCAAAGCTGCAGTTTGCCAGCCTGCAAAGGATCCTAGGGCCAAGGCAACTTCCCCAACAGGCACCCCAGGGCCAGGCCACAGCAATGGCTTTCTTAGGCTTTCAAAGCTGCCGTTTGCCAGCCCGCAAACCCTCCAAAACTCTCCAAAACTCTCCAAACTCTCCAAACCCTCCAAACCCTCCAAACGCTCCAAACCCTCCTAAACCCGCCAAACCCTCCAATCACCGTCCCCAGCAGGCACCTCAGATCCACAGCAATGACTTTCTTGATGCTTTCAAAGCTGCCTTAACAGGGGGCCAGGGCCACAGCAATGACTTTCTATGGGCCTCAAAGCTGCAGTTTGGGGGGCCAGGGCCACAGCAATGACTTTCCATGGTCCTCAAAGCTGCAGTTTGCCAGCCTGCAAAGGATCCAAACTTCCAAAATTCCAAACACCTTCCCCAACATGCACCCTAGGGCCAAGGCCACTTCCCCAACAGGCACCCCAGGGCCAGGCCACAGCAATGGCTTTCTATGGGCTTTCAAAGCTGGCTTTCTCAGGCTTTCAAAGCTGCCGTTTGCCAGCCCGCAAACCCTCCAAAACTCTCCAAACCCTCCAAACCCTCCAAACGCTCCAAACCCTCCAAAACCTGCCAAACCCTCCAAGACAAAAACACCGTCCCCCATCAGTCACCTTCAGATCCACAGCAATGACTTTCTCATTGGCCTCAAAGCTGCCGTTTGGCCAGCCTTCAAAGGATCCAAAACTTCAAATTCCAAAACACCTTCCCCAGACCTTCCCCCTAAGGGCCAGGCAACTCCCCAACAGCACCCAGGGCCCAGGCCACGTCATTGGCTTTCTTAGGCTTTCAAAGCTGCCGTTTGCCAGCCCGCAAACCCTCCAAAACTCTCCAACCCCTCCAAACGCTCCAACCCCTCCAAAACCCGCCAAACCCTCCAAACACCGTCCCCAGCAGGCACCTCAGATCCACAGCAATGACTTTCTTGATGCTTTCAAAGCTGCCGTTTGCCAGCCCGCAAAGGCTGCAACCCCTCAAAGCTGCAGTTTGCCAGCCTGCAAAGGATCCAAACTTCCAAAATTCCAAACACCTTCCCCAACATGCACCCTAGGGCCAAGGCAACTTCCCCAACAGGCACCCCAGGGCCAGGCCACAGCAAATCAGCAATGGCTTTCTATGGGCTTTCAAAGCTGGCTTTCTTAGGCTTTCAAAGTTGCCGCTTGCCAGCCCGCAAACCCTCCAAAACTCTCCAAACCCTCCAAACGCTCCAAACGCTCCAAACCCTCCAAAACCCGCCAAACCCTCCAAACACCGTCCCCAGCAGGCACCTCAGATCCACAGCAATGACTCAGCAATGACTTTCTATGGGCCTCAAAGCTGCAGTTTGCCAGCCTGCAAAGGATCCAAACTTCCAAAATTCCAAACACCTTCCCCAACATGCACCCTAGGGCCAAGGCAACTTCCCCAACAGGCACCCCAGGGCCAGGCCACAGCAATGGCTTTCTATGGGCTTTCAAAGCTGCCGTTTGCCAGCCCGCAAACCCTCCACAACTCTCCAAACGCTCCAAACGCTCCAAACCCTCCCCAACCCGCCAAACCCTCCAAACACCGTCCCCAGCACACACCTCAGATCCACAGCAATGACTTTCTTGATGCTTTCAAAGCTGCCTTAACAGGGGGCCAGGGCCACAGCAATGACTTTCTATGGGCCTCAAAGCTGCAGTTTGCCAGCCTAAATTCCAAACACCTTCCCCAACATGCACTAGGGCCAAGGCCACTTCCCCAACAGGCACCCCAGGGCCAGGCCACAGCAATGGCTTTCTATGGGCTTTCAAAGCTGGCTTTCTTAGGCTTTCAAAGCTGCCGTTTGCCAGCCCGCAAACCCTCCAAAACTCTCCAAACCCTCCAAACCTCAAACGCTCCACCCTCACAAACCCCCGCCCAAACCTCCAAACAACGTCCCAGCAGGCACTCAGATCCACAGAAATGGACTCAGCAATGACTTTCCATGGGCCTCAAAGCTGCAGTTTGCCAGCCTGCAAAGGATCCAAACTTCCAAAATTCCAAACACCTTCCCTAACATGCACCCTAGGGCCAAGGCCACTTCCCCAACAGGCACCCCAGGGCCAGGCCACAGCAATGGCTTTCTATGGGCTTTCAAAGCTGGCTTTCTTAGGCTTTCAAAGCTGCCGTTTGCCAGCCCGCAAACCCTCCAAAACTCTCCAAACCCTCCAAACGCTCCAAACCATCCAAAACATGCCAGACCCTCCAAACACCGTCCCCAGCAGGCACCTCAGATCCACAGCAATGACTTTCTATGGGCCTCAAAGCTGCCGTTTGCCAGCCCGCAAAGGCTGCAACCCCTCTAAAATTCCAAACACCTTCCCCAACAGTGGCCAGGGCCACAGCAATGACTTTCTATGGGCCTCAAAGCTGCCGTTTGCCAGCCTGCAAAGGATCCAAACTTCCAAAATTCCAAACACCTTCCCCAACATGCACCCTAGGGCCAACCCCAGGGCCAGGCCACAGCAATGGCTTTCTTAGGCTTTCAAAGCTGCCGTTTGCCAGCCCGCAAACCTTCCAAAACTCTCCAAAACTCTCCAAACCCTCCAAACCCTCCAAACGCTCCAAACCCTCCTAAACCCGCCAAACCCTCCAAACACCGTCCCCAGCAGGCACCTCAGATCCACAGCAATGACTCAGCAATGACTTTCTATGGGCCTCAAAGCTGCAGTTTGCCAGCCCGCAAAGGATCCAAACGTCCTTAAAACAGGGCAAGGCCACTTCCCCAACAGGCACCCCAGGGCCAGGGCCAAGGCCACTTCCCCAACAGGCACCCCAGGGCCAGGCCACAGCAATGGCTTTCTATGGGCTTTCAAAGCTGCCGTTTGCCAGCCCGCAAACCCTCCAAAACTCTCCAAAACTCTCCAAACCCTCCAAACCCTCCAAACGCTCCAAACCCTCCTAAACCCGACAAACCCTCCAAACACCGTCCCCAGCAGGCACCTCAGATCCACAGCAATGACTTTCTTGATGCTTTCAAAGCTGCCTTAACAGGGGGCCAGGGCCACAGCAATGACTTTCTATGGGCCTCAAAGCTGCAGTTGCCAGCCTGCAAAGGATCCAAACTTCCAAAATTCCAAACACCTTCCCCAACATGCACCCTAGGGCCAAGGCCACTTCCCCAACAGGCACCCCAGGGCCAGGCCACAGCAATGGCTTTCTATGGGCTTTCAAAGCTGCTTTCTTAGGCTTTCAAAGCTGCCGTTTGCCAGCCCGCAAACCCTCCAAAACTCTCCAAACCCTCCAAACCCTCCAAACGCTCCAAACCCTCCAAAACCCGCCAAACCCTCCAAACACCGTCCCCAGCAGGCACCTCAGATCCACAGCAATGAGACTTTTTATGGGCTTTCAAAGCTGCCGTTTGCCAGCCCGCAAACCCTCCAAAACTCTCCAAACGCTCCAAACCCTCCAAAACCCGCCAAACCCTCCAAACACCGTCCCTAGCAGGCACCCCAGATCCACAGCAATGACTTCGAATCACTTACCATCCGTGCATGGGATGATCCTCCAGGCTTAACCAAAAAAAAACTGGAACACTGGCCCATTGAAATTGTTTTTTTCTTATTAATTCATGGTGATGTTCCACATCAATGTTACTTTGCCCCACCACTGCGGCACCTTTTAGCTGCACGTGGTGCCGTGTCTCAGTTGGAACCCTCTCAGGGTCAGTACCTCTCTCTCTCTCTCTCTCTCCACAGTCCCCCCCAAATAGAGGGGGGTCGGCGGCACCTGGGCGCTAGCCCATTCTATATATATATACGTATAGATACTGCAGTGTTTGATTCCAAGCCAAAACCAATACTTTCCAAAGTGCGGAGTCTGTGGCTGCTGCGTTTCATCTCCTGCTAGGAGCGCACAACAAACGATTTCATTTTCATTCAGAAGCCATGATACAATGCAGGCTAACAGGGTCCTCTAAACTGATTATCGACAAACATGCATTGGCTTGACACAACCGTGACCTCTCAGAAGCATCTCTCGAACCAGTTGACAAGGGCTTCACTATGGCTTATCTGAGCCAATCTACTCATTTAAACGCAAGCTAGTCCTCTTCAGTCTTCTCAGTGGGCTTTGTTTCCTGCAAGTGGGGAACCAGAGATAGCAAATGGGATAAATGTAAAATCAACAAACAAATCATTGCCAAAAGAAGCAGGTTCAACACGTGAGATCTTCAGTCAAATGGCCTCAGGGGCTTTCTTTTGCGGGCTTGGACTTCTTGATGGAGAAGCCTGCCACTCTTAGCAAGCGCTGAATGGACAAAACAAAGTTGGAGTCTAAAGAATCTTCAGCTCGCGTCCTGATTCAATTCTCATTCAAAGTGTTTGAAGAGTGTGTGAAAAGAACTCTCAAAAATAATTTAACAATTCAGCAACAATCGACTGCAGCCACTCTTGAGCTCTTGCCCTGCAACAAGCTGGGCGTTTGCCTGTATGCCTTCCTCCCGCTCGACAATCAAGGCTCTGCCCCACCTAGGAAGAACCAAAACAGCAAACCAAATCAAGAGAAAGAGACAGAGAGAGAGATGGGAGACCAACGAAGATTCACACGCTTCCAAGTATGCATTAAATTTGTGTATTGACGATGATTCAACGATGCGACTCAGCTCCAGGCGGTTTTGTGAAATTCAATGCTTTCACACACTGTTTTGCCTTGCAAAACGTCGCAAAAACGTTTGCAGATTTGGAGTATGGCAGTCTGCCAGCGGTGCAAACCCTAGAATGACACGCTGTAAAGCCTCTTTCTTGCTGGACATCAGCACAATTGCGAAGCCTTTGGTGACACCTTGGAGAGAGCAACATGTGAATTCTAAAGCCACATAAATCCACCATGTTACAACTTACAAATACAATCAAATGCAAGTAGCAAAAAGAGAGCCAATAATTCAAAAGCAGCTGAATTGAGTAGTTCACTGGTTCCTTCCTCAGTGGCCATCTCCACATCATGGACGGTGCCATGCCTTGCAGTCACAGTGCCGGTCCAAATCGATAGAGCCTGTTGCATTGAAAGAATTCAGAACTACGTGTTGCGACTGGATGCTATTGGCCGGTTAGACAGGGGTGGACGTGAGTCAAGTTGAGTCGAGCGCTTGCTGAAGAGATCCCGCAATTCTGGCTCGCCCGTTGCTTTGTCCAGGTTCTTCACAAACACCTGCCAGTTTGCGCACTCTAACACGCACACTCTACGGTACTTTGTCTTCATTGATACTTTAAGCATTGCTTTGCTAAATTAGCAGCTTGTAAGTAGATTAGATGAAGAGTGATTGTCATACTACAGGAAAGGATATAAACAATTTACTCCTACGGTCCTACACCAATGTTGCGTGCTTTAACTGCCTCTCCTGAAAACATATCCATCCGACCCTAGCCTGGCAACCTGGAGGTCCTCCTAGCTTCTTGCCTCATACCAAGAGGTATTTGCGCAAATTGCACGTATATTGACCTTCAATGTAGGTGTCTACATCAATATCAATATCTATATAATTACAGTGTGTATATATATATATACATACAAGTATGGTGTCCACGAATTTGATGTACACCATTTGTGCGCACTGAAGCTTGCTGTGTCCCTCTAAGCGTGACAGTATGTGGCAGTCATTTACAGAAACAGAGAAAGTCATTGAGCAGCCCGCGAGCAGAGCTTGGTGTCATCTTTGCATCAGCCTTCTAAAAAGGCGTGTCCAACTTGCAATGAAACAAATCCCAATTGTGTCAGTCAGTCCTTTGTCGTTTTGCAATATCTTGAGGTACCAAGGCTAAAGCGTAAAGACATGTTCATATAGCAACCAAATCACTCTGAATTATGTATTGCTGATATTGATTGCAACAGAGTGAAACATGACTCATGCTGCCTCTTGAGGCTGTTCTGGCACAGATTCTCCTGCATCATTGGTTGAATTCGGTTGAATCAACAAAGATTGTCAAGCTATTACACAAGGATTACACAAGGTATGTCAGGGATTGTCAGGCACAGACAATGAGATCACTCAAGGCCTCAAGGCCCCAAAGCATCACCGTATCAGCGCCTCTGGCACTATCCTTGATGTCATGTATTTCCTTTTGCTCCTTACGCAAAGGATTAAAAAGCTGCAGTAACAGTCTGCCCAAGTTTTCTTCAAGTAAACATCTGCCAAGAAACGTTGCTGAATATCTGACTTTGCTAAATATGTTGGCTCGAGGCAGTTGTCATACGTTTTCCAGGCATCTTAACATCTAACCGATCTAACCTCAAATTGACTCCAGTGCCCACAATGCTCATCCCTGCAAACCCTCACCTCTGTGTGTGCACTGTGGTTTGCTCCATGAGCAGAGTCTGCTGCAGAGTCTTCCTCTTTGCCATCGTTATCCTTACAACATCTGCCCTCTCACGCAGCTCTCAGAAGTTAGCTGTGAGGTTTGTCAAGACGCGTCTCAAGATTCTGGAAGGGCAATCCTGGCCTCTACATCGATCTCAAGATCAACAAGACCTCGCAGCTAGGAAAACCACTTGGCTTGACACGGTTTGAGAGCAATTTGATGCATTTTCGGGGTATTCTGAGTCAAAGTCTCCCTATTTGTTTAGCTGATCAAGAACCGGGACCCCGCCTAGCAAACCATCTACGCTTGGAAGGTCTAGGCCCAGAGCAAGCGTGCCTCAGTGCGGTAGAACAATGTGCGTTGTCCAGTTGCATAGTTGATCTTAGATTTTACTTAGATTTAGTCAGATTTAGAATGTAGAATGATTTGGATAGAATTTAAAAGTCACATGGACCAAGTCTTGTCTTCGTTCCCTACGTTTCCGTTGTTTCATTGACATCGCCAGGTTTCCAGGCCTTCTCTTTCTCGTGTGCCTGCCTCGGCCTCAGCCTTCTTGATGCGGTCAGCAGCCTTATGGTGAAATTTGAAACATCTTGAAACATCTTGCAACGTTCATAAAAGAAAAATCTTCTCACGAAATGATGTGCAAACTCAACAGACTTACATTCCATATCAACTCATCTACCCAAGAATCTGCTTTGTCAGAGGAAATGAAACTGTGGGTCCACACAGGAGGAACAGGTGAAGCTGTACGCTCTGTGCTTGTCCAGGAGCCACCAGATTGTGCACGAACACCCAAGCCCTGATAGGTCGGATTATTTCTGTTCACCAACTGTCACACATTGAGCATGACATCAGTCAAATCACGACATGCACGAAGTGGATCGCAGCGTGTTGTAATGCAATTCAACATGGTCCTTGTGTCCATACATCCATACAACCATCTGGGCATGCATGATGACTTATTATGTTGCATTGCACCAAATTGAATCGTATTGCATTGCGTTACAGTGCATCACATGACGCGAGCTAATTTTCAAAATCTCAAAGAGCAAGCCCGGAGGCTATAGCATCCAAAGCATTTCGATCGTTACTCTTCCCTTTCGTTTCTTCTGTTCCCTACGTCGCTCCTTTCGTATTAACTTCTGCTCCGTTCGTTACTTCCTCCCCATTGTTTATCTTATTTATTCACCTCTTCCTTTCATTTAAAGGCGTTCATTTCATTAGGTCCGTCTTTTCGCTCAAATCTTCTGTCCTGTTCTTCCTGCTCTTCCTTTCCTTTCAACTCGACCATTTCATTGCGTCCGTCTTTTCGTTGCAACTCTTCCCTTCCATTCGTTACTTCCTTCCTTTCGTTTCAACTCTTTGTAATCCCGTTCGCTACTTCTTTCCTTTCCTTTCAACTCTTCCCTTCCGTTCCATATACGGCGTGCCTTCCGTTTTAAGTCGTTTTAGCTCGTCCCTTCCGTTCGTTACTTCCTCCCAATCGTTTCAACGCTTCCATCCTGTTCATTTACCTCTTCCTTTCATGTCAATGCGTTCATTTCGCTATTTCCTTCCCTTTTTATGTCTTACATCCGGTTCGTTTACCTCTTTCTTTCCAAGTCGTTCATTTCGTTATCTCCTTCCTTTGTCAATTCTTACATCTGGTTCGTTTACCTTCCTTTCGTTTCGAGCCGTTCATTTCGTTATACTTCTTTCCTTTAGTCTTCTATAGTCTTACATCCCCTTCGTTTACCTCCTTTCCTTTCAGCGTGTGCATTTCATCACGTCCGTCCTTTCGTTGCAACTCTACCCTTCGATTCGTTACTTCTTTCCTTTCGTTTCAACTCTTTTGAATCCGGTTCCTTACTTCCTTCCCTTTCGTTTCAACTCTTCGCTTCTGTCCCCTATACCTCGTTCCTTTCGTTTTAAACTCTTCCCTTCCCTTCGTTACTTCCTTCCCATCGTTTCAAGGCTTCCATCCTGTTCATTTACCCCTTCCTTTCATTTCAATGCGTTCATTTCGTTGCTTCCATTCCTTTCGTTTCAATGTTTCCAACCCGTTCGTTTACCTCTTCCTTTCGTTTCAAGCCGTTCACTCCGTTACCTCCTTTCTTTCGCTTCAACTCTTCTTTCCTGTTCGTCTTGCTCTTCCTTACCTTCCTTTCCTGACAACCGGTCCATTTCATTGCGTCCGTCTTTTCGTTGCACCTCTTCCCTTCCATTCGTTACTTCCTTCCTTTCGTTTCAACTCTTTTTCATCCCGTTCGTTACTTCTTCCCTTTCCTTTCAACTCTTCCCTTCCGTTCCCTATATACAGCGTGCCTTTCGCTTCAACTCTTCTCTTCCGTCCATTACTTCCTCCCCATCGTTTCAACACTTCCATCCTGTTCATTTAAACCTCTTCCTTCGGTGGGAATTCGTCTTCAGAGCAATTCGTCTTCGGGTAATTCGTCTTCGCAATTCGTCTTCGGGGGGGAAATTCGTCTTCGGGGCGCCATTCGTCTTCGGGGAATTCGTCTTCGGAATTCTTCATCGGGGGGAATTCGTCTTCGGGGCGCAAGTCGTCTTCGGGGGATTTGTCTTCGGAGTTCGTCTTCGGGGGGGAAATTCGTCTTCGGGGCGCGCGATTCGTCTTCGTGGGATTCGTCTTCGGAATTCGTCTTCGGGGGGGGAATTCGTCTTCGGGGCGCAATTCGTCTTCGGGAAATTCGTCTTTGCAATTTGTCTTCGGGGGGGAATTCGTCTTTCTTCGGGGCGCAATTCGTCTTCGGGAATTCGTCTTCGGAACTCGTCTTCGTCCGCAGGTGGAAAAGTGATACCCGCATAGCGGCCTCAATGTATATATATATATACATACATACATACATATATATATATATATATACGCATATAATATATATATATACAGTATATAATATATATATATACAGTATATATTCTTGCCAATTGAGTTTTCTATCAGACAAATGGAAAGAACCCAAAAGGGCAAGTTGAATCCTTTCTTGCATCCCAGCGTTATTGCTGCCTACAGCTATTGCACAAGAAGAACATTGAATATGGACAGCACCGGTAGTTGAAGGGACCCACCTTGAGCTTTTGGAGCACTAAAGACTCCGCAGCAGAACGGCCTGACCTAGTCAGGTTCTCCCAAGAGTGTATCGGATTACACCACTATATCTTTGTTTTACTTGATGAGCAACGACCACCACAAAAGCCATTCTGGAGACTATAGCTGACCATGGTGTTTCTATGTGTTTCTCTCTCTTTGAACATCAAATCTGCTCTTGCTACACCGACCTTGCGAGGCCAGAAGCCCCTGTCTTGTCCAAGGCTTCAGATACGCTGGACATCACCGAAGACGCCTCCAATCAGAAACCAGACACAAAAGCCCCGGTTAAAAGTTCTCACCACAATACGGACAACACGGGCTTTTTTGAGAACTTTTCGACAAGCCCTAGGCCCTAGGCCAAGGCAAATCCCTCTAGATTGCAGCTGCCTGATCTCGAGTCAACTTCAACATGAGGAAAGACCTGGCCGTCCGTGCTAAACAACGTCGCCATGATGACACGCATTCACCATCGTTGAAGTTGTATCATCGTATGGTCCTAACCCGAATATCCCTTTCAATCTGTCCCACTTTTGTTGATGGACTTAGCAATCTCCCATATTACCAATGAAACAGGCATGCGAGACGTCGCTGGAGAGATACGATTCTTTGCGAGAAAGTCCCTGCTGGCAATGGCCCATGACTGAAAGTCACTTGCAGGAATTATGCGTTGTTCATCTTTATTCTGTTTCAGTTTCACCTGAAACGAAGAGAAGCATAGTTCCTTTTCTTCATGTTTCACAGCTAAGCGCAAGACTCCAACTCCGTGTCCCGTTCCGCTGCAGATGACAGAAGCCTAGCCTTGCAAAGCGCTTTGGCAAATGTTGAAGATCATGAATATCACAAGAAATGTCAAGAAATGTCAGAAGTAGATCAGTTCTGAAAGGCTGGACAATCCGGTTTCAATGCAGACGCCCCGATGTCCTTTGGTGGTGGATGTGAGTCAGGCTCTGGTGGAGGTTCCTGGCCATCTCAAACCAAAGTTAGACCGCAGTGGGAAAGAAACTTGAAATTGTGTGGGCAAACTTGAAAAAAAACGAGACAAATGAAAAAAATGGAAAAAAGCAAAAAGCAAATCAGCAAAATCCAAAAAAACACAAAAGCAAAATTAAAGGGGAAAAACAGGGAGCAAAAAAAGGAAAGTTAAAAAGGGAAAAAACATGGGAAAAAAATGGACTTGTCCATTTGCATTTTGTTGCATTTATTTTGCTTTCTCGATTTGCTTTTATTTTGCATCTATTTTGCTGTTTGCCTGGAAAAAAACATGTAAAATAAAAGCAACAAAAAAGCAAATCCAAAAGGCAAAATAAATGCAAGAAAAATGCAAATGGACAAGTCCATGTTTTCCATGTTTTTCCCTTTTTTGACTTTCTTTTTTTTCTCCATTTATTTTGCTTCCGGTTTTTTCGGGTCTGAAGTTTTGCTTTTTGATTGTCCATTTGTTTTCCTTTTTTCTGCGTTTTTTTCAAGTTTAAAAATCATTAGAATAAGCTATTGAGGAGAACATAAGTGTAAATATGTGTATGTATGCGTCCTTATTGTATAATAATATGTACATATAGATACAGATATGGATATAGACATATAATGACATATATAGATATAGATATGGATATAGATATACGTAGATATAATTCATCATTATTGTATAGATTGTATAGATTATGTTTGCGTACGTGATAGATATCGCTAGATTTGGTTCTGTGGAAAGGGCTTTGTTCCAGCCTCGGCTGGAGGCGGTGGAGGATCAGCAGCCACGCCAGATCTGGAGCCAATGGCCTCGCACAGGGCCGCTGTTTTCCATTCCAAGCAGCCGCAGCAACCTGGGGACTGAAAGGTATAGAAAACAATAGAAAACACATGAGAACGCACCAAGATTGCAACACGGACAGCATTCCAAAAGACAATCTGAAGATTGCAAGAAAAAAAATGGAGAAAAGTAACGAACATAAACGAAAATACAATTTAAGAAACCACAACAAAGAAAGATGTGTAAAGGTTATAAAGAAACAAAGCGCCTAGGGCCTAGGGAAGAAACAAAACGTCTATGACACCGGTGTGCCTGCGTGGCATCTAGACGGGACCTTGGTACGAAGTAGGTCACCCAGAGTCACCCAATACCACTCAGTGCTCTGTGTGCGCTGTGTGCGCTGTTCACGAGTTCGAAGGATTGGAACGATTGGAACGATTGAGCTTACTACGCCTTGGACTCACCTGCACAATCTGAACAATGAATAAACAGAATGACAGTCAGCAACAATTGAAGAAAGACCTAAGCCTCTCATCATGTCTTGTTGAAGGACTCTGGTTGATCAGGCAGAACTTGTATTGAACATGTTGAAGACGAAAGTAATGTCATCTTGCACAATCTTGTTATTCTTGGTGGACTGCCAAAGGCAGCACAAATATCAACACACATCTAGGTAGAAGCAGTTACTTGCATGCGGAATATTTGCCACTTCAGTGTCTCCTGCACATCTCTAGTTTTGCTTCTGGTGCAGGAATACTTTCCGGAACTAAAGTGTGTTCATTGTATCAAGTGACACTGCCAATCCCTGTTCTGCCAAATTTGCTAGAGAAAGGACAAGTTCGAGAAATGGCCTCGGGTTCGCCCAGACCTCAAGCAGAACAGGCAGCAAAAGAGATCATGTTCTTTCTTTCTGAAGCGAGATATACAAACATACAACTTGCTGGTTCAGCTGCCTTCAGGAAAGATCATATTAATCTGCCTGATATGCTTGGACGCGCTGCTTGGGTTTAAGTTTCTGAGTTGCGTCAAAGAGACCTGGAGACGCTGCGGCTCCTTCTCTTCCGGCTGCTGTCGCTGCCTGAGCAATTTGAGAATTGATAAGTTGAGGTTGGCTGGGGTTGGCTGAGACTAGCTGTGGGGCAAAGCACGGAGAGAAACAACAAAAAGGTCTTGCGAAAGACAGTGTGCTGAGGCAGAAAATGGGAGAAGCACGCTAAATGCTTTGTAGAAGTGCATACTACAGAGATCTACAGAGACCTCCAGAGATCTATCAAGTCTGCAAGACTGGGTGTCGGTGTTGAAATCAAAAGGCACAAAGCAGAGCCGCACGGCTCAGTGGTAACAGGCACAAGTTGCTTCGGCTGCTCGAGCTACTTGAACCTAGGTCTCACAAGAGCATTTCAGGTCGGCTGCGCAATGGGGAACGCAATGAGACAGCTATACATGCTGTACATTGCTATATAATATCTAGAAAAAACTAAATAAGCAAAAAGGACATAGAAAGGAGCAATGAGTTTAAGTTTCCCACGTCGACGGCGACCTGGCAGTTTGTTCAGAGAAATATCGTTTTGAGCCCCCTGTCCAGGCTTTGTTTAGCACATGCAAATGACTGAAACCCTTAAAACGCGCAGACACCTCGTGAACGTTTGCCTGACGCGAACAAAATGACACTGATGACATGGTAAATACATTTTGAAAATCATTGAAATGATAGAATGTTATTTTCTGAACAACATGTAGAGTGATAAAACATGAGACTGTTTGAGACTGATGGGACATCGCTAACTTCGCATGACACGAGCCATGTCAAAGGGTCGTGCTATGCACCCCTGCCTCCCATGGTGGCCCAATTCACAGCTCTACGGAACCACGGTTTTGCTCCCCACCTTGGGCAAGTAAAATAAATAAACAAATCAATGAAGTGTGTATAACATATGTGAATGAACATGTGTGAAGTATATTAGATCATATCATATCATAAAGTGCTATACTAGACTAGATATTACATTACATCATGTTACGTTACATTGAGACGACGCAAGGACCACACGGCAGCCAAACCGGGGCCAAAAACAAAGAAACACGACAAGAAATACATTAATATAAAATAGAATTACTAAACAATTACAATATTATATGCTATGTATTATATATTATATGTTGTATGTTATTTTAAAATATATATATATATATACTATATATTACATCTTATATATTGTATATTATATATAAGAAATTCTATGTTATATATAATTAGAAAATATATATTATATATTATATATCATATCCAATATGTTAGACAATATATTTTACATTCTAGATATGATATATACAATATATCATATATTATTCTTGTGTTATATAGTATATATTAAATATTACAGTATATGCTAGATAATAAATATATATATTATCGTATATATGATAATGTGACTCGTGATATATGTTGTTTGATAAATAACAAAGTTTGTGCTATATAGTCTATATCATTTTTAAATATTATATATCATATATGTCAAACTATATCTTATTTATTTAATATTGCATTATATATATTATTTTATATACATTGTATGGTGTATACTGTATATATATATACATATAGTGTATTTTGCAATTATATATATATACTATATCTCTTTATATTTTATTATTTTATGTTAATATTGCATATTATCTAGTAGATATTATCATATATCATATAGTGTATATCACATATCATATATCAACTATTTTCTATTATATAATATATCATAAATCATATATTATACATCATATATTATACATCATATTCTTAATATTATATATTACTGTACATATTAAATAATGTACAGTATAGTATATGTTATATATAATATATATTATATATCAACTATATATACACACACTAAATTTTGAATCTTGTACATTATATAGTGTATATGATATGTGGATATATACATTATTAAACATTATATACGTTATATTTTCTCATATATCGTGCACCAAATATTATACATGACTTATACTAAAACAAAGATAATATATCATAGAGTATATATTATTTGTTATGTGTAAAAATATTTTACATTATATATTATATCTACATATTATATAAGTAGTGTACAAATAGAAATATATTAAATACTATATTCAAAATAGTGTATAATAGTTTACATATATTGCAGAAAATATATTGTAAATTATATATTGTATAGTGTATAGTGAACATCATATATCACATATCATATATAGTATATACTATATAAATTATATATTATATTATGTGTATATATATATATTCTATATCATATATATATATACTGATATAGAATGTACTATATTTGATATATTATTAAATATATAATCATATATCATATTTATACTTTGTATTTGATATACTTGGTTCGATATTTTATATAGGATATTTTATATCATATTACATCACATATAATATCATATGTTATACTATATTACGTTACGTTTTGATATTTTATTATATTTATCATATTACAGTTTACATTCTATATTCTATAGTCTACATTCTATGTTATATATTTTGTATTATATATTATATATTATACAGTATATTTCAAATTTCAGATGAAATGTAAATGTATATTATAGCTATAGTAAATATTATATGTTATAGACAATTTGATAGACAATTACATCATATAATATTGTTTATGGTGTACTACATAATATATTTTATACTTTATCTTACATTGTATTATGTATTACTAGAAATATTCTATGATATGTTATATTGGGTATTCAATTATATACTGTATTTTAAGAAATATGGAAAATGAAATATTATATCATCTATATTATATTTTGATCATGGTATCTTATATTTTATACTATGCATATCATATTTTATTTATGTTATATAATACATATATATATATATTTACATATATACATATCTGTAGTATCTACTTGTCATATATATACGATATATTGAATATATATACTATGAATACAGATAGAGGAAGAAGCACAGTGAAACCATGACTCACAACGATCTTTAAGCTGCAGGCTCGCCTGCCTGACAGGCAGCAAAAAACTGCCTTAAGCAGTAGACTTGCACAGCTGAAGACGTCGAGTGCCGCGCGGCAATTGGCATCTCTAGATTCTAGAGCATCACGCGGAATCGTTTTTGACTGTATGATGCATATCCATTGCACAATTTTGTGTAATGTCACTTTTTCATATGTTTCCGTATGTGTCTACCTTTCAGCCACTATCTATCTATATATATATATATTATATATATATTATATATATATTATATATTATATATATATATATCTGATCACGTCGTTGTTTGAATTGTCATAAGGTTTCTTCGAAAGCTGTGTGATTGACGCTTGTCATAGGCTCTTGGCCGAAGAGACTTCTCCGGATGCCGCTTCAGGTCATAATCAGCCACCTCGCTGGTGTGATGTGCTATGATGTGTTGATGTGTTCCGTGTTCGAAGCAGTCTCTTGAGGTAGTTGTTTAAAGTTGTTGAAAGTTGTTGAGCCGTGAAGATCGTGAAGATCATGAAGCCCTGAGCTTTGATGTAAACATTTTGCAACTAAACAATCTTTAGATCACAGAATGATGCAGGGAAAAAGAAAACCTACAGACTGTAGCGACAAGATGCCCGTCTGCTCGTGGTCTCCATTGAGGCTGGGGCACCACCTCGCCCTTGGTCGCAATAGCTCCACCTGGCACAACGCTTGGCACGTCGAGTGCGACAAAAAACATCAGCACGTCTTGCTACCAACAACCACAACCACAACGACATCGACACCAACACCGTTCCCTTCCACCCGTCCGACTTTTTGTTCGCACTTGACACACTTGACACACTTGACACACTTGCTACAACATGTCTCTTACGACAAGTGTTCCTCTGATTTTGAGACCTCATGGAACAGACTTGGTGGCCAAGTCTAAACAAGCTCATCCATCAACACAGGTTTCAAATCCCCTCCCCTTCTCAGGCTGACGCCATTGTTGCTTGAAAGGCTGCCCACCTGACCGTTGGCCTGAAAGGTGTCATGTAAAGCCGACGGGTTGTCACACTCCGCCGGATTCGATTCGTGTGAAATTCAACATGCCTAGAATATCATGAATATCCTAGAATTATATTGAAAATATTGAATTGTTCTGCAGATATCTGTCGATTGTGTCCTTTCAGAATTTCATACTCTTCGTCTCAGCTCCTGGCCCTCCTTGATAAGACTCACCAAAGCCTGGCACGATCCGAACGGAGGTTCTGGTTGTGGGGTGTTTCACAGCCAAAACTGATCCCGCTCAAGGTATCGAAAGGCCGAGGATGAGTAGGATCCATGCGGTTGCCGATGTTCTGGATGAAACTTGGGGGAAAGGCGAGGCTTCTTTCAGGCTTTATACACATGTAAGCCAATGTAAGCTACGCAAATTCACGCATTGTTTTGGTTCACAGGAAATCTGTCCTGTCCACCCTTTTTGGTGAAAAAACAAAGTTGGTGCTCTTCCCCCACACATGTTGGTGCTTCCGCAATTTTGGCAGCTACCACTAGTGATGAAGCTAGTCGGCACCCGAGCCTCTTTTGACAAGCTTTCAGGCTCAACCGGCCCTGCTGCAGGGATGGGTGCGCCGGCTGTAATGGGCACCTGCAACAGCATCAAACATGGCAGCTGTTGGCTCAAAGCATTGGTGCAGCAAGTCAGAGCTGCCTTGCTACATGCCTTGCTACATGCCTTGCTACATGCCTTGCTACATGCCTTGCCTGCCACCGTGCTGGCAGTTGCTCCTTTGAGGCATCCAAACCCATGCGGGTCGCTTCTCCTTTTGCAAAGGCCACCTGCATTGACCCGGCAAACTTGAACACCAGTCACTATTACTTGGCTTGCTGCTAACACAAGTTCCTTGAAATTCCCTGACCTGAGACATGATGTGACATGCGCATTTGTGCAACTGACTTTGCCAAATATATAGCATTCTCGTGCGCCTGAATTGGACCTAGCTCTGCTCGCTCGTGTATCTGAGCTATTGCAGGCAGCACCAAAGCAGTAAAATAATGTAATGATATGTAATGTACAAAGCAACACAAAGAAATGCAATGGAGAAACTGCACAGTGGAAACTCACAACTTGCAAACTTAGACTTTCGCCAAAACTCGCTTCTCGTGCATCTCTTCAATGGCACGTTCAGCATCCTTTCGGAAAAGGCTGCTTCTGTTCAGACCAAGAATGGCTGAAGAAACTGCATGAATCAAAAACTTGTTGGCGCTCAACTCCGATAACTCTCGGCCTTCAAATGTGCAAGGCGCACAAAGGCACAACGTGCTCCAGATGCACCACGGCCATCAATCAGAAACACCTGCGAGTAGTTGGGGAAATCAAAGTCACGGAACTGACAAGTAGTCCGACTTCAGTTCTGTGTGTTGTCATGTTTTCTCGTGTCTTTTGATGTCTTCTGTATGTTCTTGTCTGTGTTCTGTGCTTTGAAAGCAAACGTTTCAGGCCCTGGATTTCTTATATAACTTCCCTTGACTGAGCCTCTAAGACCTCCCCGTAATCTTCAAAGGCCCGAGACAGGAGGTCCGTCGTGGTCTGGCAAGTGGTTCGCTGCAGCTTGGGAAGTCGCAAAAAACACCAGCTTGCACATTGCACGCATAACAAAGAGGAGTTCTCAAATGTCACATGTTTATGATGTTTATGACCTTAAACATCGTTAAACTCTCATCATGCACAACGGCCTCCACGGGCAAACGTCCAACAAAAAGTTTCACTCCACCCTGGCAACGCACTTGTAACAAGCACAAGCAAGGTGAGGTGTCAGACAAGCTAAGTTCTTTTAGGTGGGTCTTTCTAGCTTGAGGAATCCTCCAGGACAAAAATAGACAAAAATGATAAAATCAAAAGAATCCTTCTGTGTTTTCCCCACCTTTACACGCTCGACAAGTGGTCGGTGATCCATCGCAGACCTACCAAGGCAAACTGCCAGACGGAGGTCAGCTGCATGGCAAAAACTTCGCACAGTCACTGTGCACAAACTTCGTGTGGCAGCTTTGCAAGACCGTGTGCAAAACAAAAGGAGCAGGCCTTTCAGAACTCTGGCTACCTGCCACCAGGTCGGGAGAATCTGAAAAAGGCAGCGAGAATATTTTCCAGTCGAAGAACAGTTCCGAACATATTTTCAATCTGATTTCAATTTGATTTCCTAAGCGAAGCTTTTCGTTTGCGAATGTTGCGCACCTCGACTTCCTCGACTTCCTCGACTCCTTCCCAGGATTGCCGAATTGCGACGCACAGTGTGACACAGTGTGACACATTCTCCACACATTCTCTTCCGCAAAAGGCTTTTTGGATCTTCTTGGGAAGACTCTCTTAGACACTTTTTCATACTCACTTGACCCAATGCACCTCGAGCCAGGACCCTTTGCAGCTGTGCAAGCTCCTCTGGTAGTAGCCCTTGATTATGGAGGCCAACAGCCACCGCAATGGTTCGTCGCGCATCAATGAAGGATTCTGCACTGTACCAAGCAAGAGCAGCTCTGTGGAGTTGTCCCACTCAAGCTGCTTGAAAATGTCTGCAAGTTGGATGCAGTCATTAAATGAGGCTGAGCCTTCGAATGGCAGCTAGACTTTTTGCGCAGCTGTACAGGCCCCCTGTTCTTGGCATCCACCACGCTCAGACATGCTGCCTGCTCTTGGAGAAACTCATCGACGGGAGCTAGGCTGCGCATCGCTGCACCAAATAAGCTGCTCCACAGTTGTGGAATCCGTGGATAGAGACCAGGAATGACCAGGAATGACCAGGTAACTCATGATCCATCTTAGATCCACTCCTGGTAGAAACCAGCACTTCCTGGGTCCAACAGTTGTGCGCAAATGAAAGCAAGTGACCGTCAAATATGTGGTAAAACAGGAGCACGCTTTGCCGCTTTGGATTCTTCACAAGTCACTGCAAGTCTGTTAAAGATTGCTGAGAGTACATGTCAAAGCGGCCGTGATATGGAGTTTTGCCTTTGCCAACCCGTTCGTACTTGTTGTACTCGGGACTGAACATATGTGACTCTCTCTGGTAGGTTATAAGCTCTTTGGGGATATCCTGCAGGAGATCACCTCAGCGTGGCAAGGACTTTGAACAAAGCTTGGAAGTTTGAACTGCCCTGAGAAGGCCGCAGCTGACAGCAGCTGCATCAAATGGTGGCATTGAGTCCAGCGGCCGTAAATTCGAAGTGACAAGCACCCCACCCGCTTGTCCTGCAGAATAGGAAAAAGATGGAAAAAGATCAAACATCCCAAAGGGATTCCAAAGGGCCTTTTCAGCTCAGCCCGACAACCACGACAAGCAGCCTGAAAAACCGCCTGACGAACAGCCTGACGAACAGCCTTTCAGCCGTCCTGTGTTGTGGCGCTGAGACGCAACATGCGGAAGGCACCACGGCGCTGTGGTGTAAGCGGCAAATGCACCGAATAGTTGCAGTGGGCAAACGCTGCATGGCGGTGGCCCTAGTAGGACAAAGGTGAAAATGACGAAAACACTTCACTGGATCACTCCAAACCTCTTCAAAGTCTGTCTATGCATCTTTATAGGTTCTACATACCCGAAATTGCACATGTTGCAAGCTGAAACAAGAGCATTCATCACATGTGTCCACGCTCCGAACAATCGCAGGCCCAAGTGCAAGCAAGGCTCTGGATTGCTTCCCCGAAGATCGAAGTCTTAGTTAAGCGCAAACAAGGAAGTGCTGTTTCATAGAAAAAAGAGAAGAAACAAAAGCACAAGATGCCCCAAGTATCAGGGCAATGCGGCAATGCACTTGGACATTCAAACATAAACATAGCCAACAAATGCCAACAGAATCTCGAGGGTCATCAGGGCACCAGAACTTTTGATTGCTGCAGGGCAACAGGCGGTTGCCAAGAACTGGATCTTTTCTTGAAACTCGGAAACACCCTCGAGCTGGAGGGCCAGCGTCATCACCACCTCCTGCGCAAAGCAAATTGGAGGATAGTGAAAGACTGAGTTTTAAGGCAAGGAGACACTGCGGTTTTGCCGGCAAGTAGACAGGCCAGCACGGACATCCTGAAAAGCACTGAGAGCCTTCAGAACAAAAATATGCAAAACTGTTCAGGTCAAGTATGCAAGGCAAGGGCCTCCTGAGCAATGTGCGAATCCGGCATGTAGAAGTTGAATGAGAAACCTGCATAGGGGAATAGACCAGGATAGTTCTTTTATTCACCAAGAGCTCAATGAAGGTTCTGTATCACTTTGAATGTGGACCATGCGAATCATTGACTAGTACCGCTAGTCCTGGCACTTGCAGCACATGCGCAGGGCTACAGAATGCAACTCTGGGCCTGTCGGCCACACAGCGTTGCCCTCTCCAAGGTCAAGCACCAAGCGAGATTGAGGAGCATGTGGCCAATAGCGTTGCTTTTCACCTGTACAGA